GAAGCCACTTCTGCCTGTGCTAGCCTCCCTGGTCTTTTCCCCCTTGGACAGCAGCTAGCTCAGGCAAGATGACCCAAAGTCGTGTTGGGCCCTAGAGAGACCAAAACCAAAGAGTAAGGGATGGCCCTGCCCTCAGGGGGCTCAGTAGGAAGTAGGAACTGGCCTGTACACAAAGCTGGGCAGGAAGGAGGAGGAGCAGGTACAAAGAGATCCCCCTCCTCCACAGAAGGAAGGAGGGAGAGAACGATAGCCAAGGAGTCAAGGAGTGTGTCCCTAAAGAAAGCCTCTGCATTGGGCCACAACAGTGACCAAGCCTCCAGCAGGCAGAGTGCAAGACAGGGCGGCTGAGGGAAGGGCCAGGCAAGGACAAAGGCCCAGCTGGAGAGGAGATTGAGGGAACAGGCCTGTGTGGCTTCACCTGTAGTCTAGTGGCAGCAGAGTGGTCAGGGCTGGGCTGGAGAGGTAAACTCCAGGTCCCAGCCCACATCCCCAATCCTTAGCTGGGTACACACAGGCCTACCCCTGTACCTCTTTGTGCCTTGGATTCCTGCCTAGGTGAGAATAGTAACGGACCTTCTCAAAGGGCTGATGAGTGGGTAGAGTTAAATGACAGGAGCTCTTGAGCTGGTCAGGACACTGGCTCTGGGAGGCCCTGAAAGTATCACCTTCACTGTTAAGCGGGTGCAGGCAGGGAGGCCCACCCTGAACTGATGCTGAAATTTGAAAGGCAGATTAGAGACCCCTGAAGATGAGGACTGGGGATGCAGCTCAGTGGCAGAGCACTGGCCTAGCATATGGGAAGCCCTAGTTTTGTTCCCAGAACCACAAAAATAAAACTATGAGTTCACAGTGGCAGCTCGTAAAGATTCATGCCTTGAACTGAAAGGAGCCCCCACTCCCAGTCCCAACCCAACACGTACACTGTCTTCTCTCTAAAAGACAGTGAACAGTTATTAAGGTAGGCGTGTGTGTGTGTGTTATTCTCTCACCCAGTTGAGGGTATAGTAGCTATATGAAATAACCAACATTTTACATATGCAAAACCAAGTCCTGAGATTCCCAGCCTCATTTATCCATTAGTACGTGGGTACTGGTAGTAGGATTCCCACCACATATAGACTGATGAAGACACAGCCTTGCAGATGAGGGGTAGCCTAGAAAGTGCCCTCTCCCTCCAAGCCTACACCCCCAGCTACTCCCCAGAACAGGCTGAGGCTCCCTGGCATGGCTTCTGTCTCTGCCACTATCCTTGACCTCAAACCCTGCCCCTCAGCCCTCCACCTTCCCAATACACAGCCCCTCCCTACCACATTCCCAAACTCCCTGGACATACCAGTGTAACCTGCAGGTCTAGCCTCCAGCTCTGGGGTCCAGAGCCCCAGCTCTGTCCTCTCTCCCTGGAGATTTTGGCTCTGGTAGGGGACACTTCACAGGGCTCCAGAGACCTCCTGAGGAACAGCAAGGCCTGCCAGGGAATTGCAAAAAAGCGTCTGCCCCTCATCCTCGAAAATTCAGAATTAACTAGTTTGGTGTGGGATCTGGACTTCAGTATATTTTTAAACTCTGCAAGTGCTGGGCACAGTGGTGTTCACCTATAATCCTACCTATTTGGGAGGGTGAGGCAAGAGGATCACAACTTCAAGACCAGACTGCCCAAGACAAGGTGGGATACATATGTTTCTATATAGTGAGACCCTATCTCAAAAAAAAAAAGGCCTCCACAAGTGAATCTAAAAGGCAGAAAGAATGAGGCCAATCTTAGGCAGGTGCTCCAAAGCTTGGTAGGAAGGTAGAATGAGGTCCCTCACTGCTGAAGAACTGAGTCCCTCATGTGTGAGAAGCACTGAGCCAAGCCTGGAAAGGGACACAGGCCAGAAATGACAAATGAGAGCTCAGCTAGGACCCCAGGTTGCATTCACACAATGTTCAGAGGCAGTAAACGCCTTCCCCGTGTCCCCTCAGCTGATCTTCACCCTGTCCTGTGAGTGGGTCCAGAAGTGTCACATGATCATGCAGGGAAACTGAGGCTGGGGCAGAAATTCAACTTGACCAGAGCCATCCTTCGCCCCTTATAGCCCAGATCTGATAAATGGCAGGTTTGTCATTTTGGTGTGTCCTGTGCAGCAGACTGGGAAGGGGTTGTTATCACCTGTGTGACAGATGAGGAAGCTGAGGCCCAGGGTGGAGGACTATGAGTGAAGCATTCCTCAAGGCAGGACCAGTGACCTAAAGAAGAGAGCTGGCAGCTCAGGTGTTAAGAGTCACTGCCAACCTGAGGCCACTCTGCCTGGCAGTGTCATCAGTGAGCTTCTGTCTGATATATTCCCCCTCCTGCTCTCAGGTGAGAAAATCTGTGACCAGCCTGAAGGGAACTCAGCTGGACCCAAGGAAATCCTGCAGCTCCCAAAAGTTCCCTGTCCACGGGAGGAAGCCAGAGTTCCAGCACACTCTCAGGCCTCGCCCCTCTGCTGGCAACACACCAGCACCACCCTCACTGTGGAAGATGAGCCATTGTCACAGGCCAGCTTTGATGAGGGTGGAATGAGGGTGATCAAGAGCATCCCTGGGGGGGAGGGTCATAATGGGGGGTAAGGAGCAGAAGGCGACCCTGGGCCTCCTCACTATCCTGCCAGGGACAAAGCCCTGGGGTCTTCATATGGATCTGCTCCCCACTCTCTAAACACCCTGCTCTGCAGGGATGAAGTGGCGGTGGGGGGGGGGCTTCACCCTCCCTTGCTAGAGAAAACTGGGTCCCCCTGGTATGGGATGGAGGGGATCCAGTGGCCAGCATTGTGGAGAGGGATGTATGTGGGTCCCCCAGCCCCCACACACACCCCCTACACCCTTTGCAGGCCCACCTGCCTCGACAGCACCTGCTGCAGAGAGCCCAAGCACCGTACTCAGAGGCAAGGGAAAGAGGGAGCGGCAGAGCTGGTGTGGTCCCCTGCAGACCAAGTATGCCCACTGCTGCTCCCACCCTTCCTGGAAGCTGGGCCAAGGAGGGTGGGGGCTGGGAGCTGGAGAAGGGAGCGGCAGTAAGACCCCACGCCAGGTTTCCTGACCCTGAGCCCTCTCCCTCCACGGCACCCCTCCATGCCCCAGGGGTCTCGGGTCCAGTCATAGACACACAGAGAGCAGGGAGGTCCTGCCTCCAAGAGGAGGGAACAAGGGGTGGAAGGATGAGCGGGGACCCACCGGGAGAGAGATGCCAGGCAGGCGGGCAGCGAGCGGGTAGCAGCGGGCGTTGGAGACCGCTGCAAGGCAGCCGGGACACGGCTGGCTGGATGCTCGTCCCTCCGTCCCTCTGTCCATCCAGGGCGGCTCCTCTCCAGGCAGTTCTGAGGCCGGGCGGGCGCTGTTAAAAAGCTTTTTATGTGTGTGTGTGTTAATCACATGATTGCCGTTCACCTGTATTTCGAACAAAGACAGCTCACTGTTTCAAGGCCCCGAACAAGAGTCTGGGCACAGGGAAGAGAAGGGAGGCGGGGGGAGGAGGGTTGGCAGCGCCGGGGGTGGCGTCGAGGAAAACTGGGGGGAGATTGTCCAAGGCCAGCAAGCGAGAGAAAGAGAAAACCCTTATCAAACTCCTAATTCACTGGGCTCCGCAGCCCCAGACACACTGGCCCAATTGTCTGGCTGGTTGTGTGTGTGTGAGCATGTGTGTGTGTGTGTTCCAATGTCTGCCACCCCCCAACATGCCTTCGCCTCATGTGACTACCTCATTGTGTCCCATAACCCACTCCCCTTCCCCCCAGGCCTTTCCAGGCATGAGGCCTTGCCGCTCCAGACCCCTATTCTAGCCCCTCTCCAGACAGGACCCCCTTGGGGTGGGCCAGGGGCCTTGCCCAGCTGCAGAGGGACTGGGAGCCATGTGTAGTCACCAACGCAGCCCAGGTTCCTCTATCTGTCTCTCCACATACACCCCACCTCTGCCTAGTCGCTCAAGAAGCAGAGCTGCCTTCCTTGTCTAAGAAGAGAAAGAGGCTATGACCTTTTGAGGCAAGACCTAGGACGGGGTGGGGAAAGGAAAAGAAGCCAGGAGTGATGGCAGAACAAGGAGAGGAGCTTGAGCCAAGGCAGTTCCCACCCCTTCTCAGGGCTGGACTTGGTGACATCCAAGACACCCAAGACTGGGACTCCCAAGGAGTCTCAGGAAGAAGGACCATGAAGGCCTCTAAGCCTTACTTGAAGAGGACACACCCCCCTCAGCCTCCTGTGTCTCCACCTTAATCCAACCCCGCTTCCCCAACGCTGGGGATTTAGAAGAAGGGACCAGAGGCAGAGCTGGAATATCTGTACTGGGTAGAGGATGTCCAATTGCCTTCTCGCTTTCCCAGGTGGGGACCTGAGCTCTCTCTCTCTCTCTCTTGCTGTGGAGGTTGAAGTAGAGAGTGCAGGGGAAAGCAAGAATGAAACAGGCTGGCAGTAGTTCCTGGCACACAGTAGGCACTCAATGAGATCTCCTAAATGAAGCAACACAGTCTTGCCACCCTCTCAGGTCGACTGGACCTTCACCTGACTTCCTCACATCTCTTCCCAATCCTTTGTCCACTGTCTATCTCGCCACCGGAGGCAGAATTCAGGGTCCCAGTTGGGCTTGATTTTTCTCCAGACAACAACCCTGACCTTGCTGCCTGCATCTCTTCATTCCCTGGCCTAACTGCCCCAACTCCTATGCCTGCTTGCCGGGACCCAAACTAAGCCCAAGGAGATGGGCCTGGGCCGCAGTGCGGGAGCTGGGCTGGGGGGGCCTGGGCGGGGTGGAAGAGCCCTGGGTGTTGGGGATGAAGGCAGCGCTGGAGGCTCCACCTTCTGCCCTTCCCTCCCTCCTCTCCCCCTCCCCTCCCCCTCCTTCCTTCCCCAGCCCTCCGCAGCGGCTCAGTCGCTCAGTCAGTCTCAGGCTGTCCGGCCAGGGTGGTTGGTGGTGAGGATTCAGGCTCCGTCCTAACGAGGCCGTGGCCTGAGGCTCAGGGCCCCCCAGCCCCTCCCTCCCAGCCCACCAGCGTCACCCCCCAGCCCCGAGCTGGACCGCACACCTTGGGACTCGGTTTTCCACTTCCTCAGGACTAGCCCCAGACTGGAGGAGAGGTCGGAGGAGGTGAGTGCGCAGCTTGCTCCTCCTTGGCAGGGCCAGGCCTGGGCCCCTGCTGTGGGGTAGGAGAGGTGACAACCCCACACGCCCGCGCCCCCCACCCAGCTTCTCTAGTCTCCCGTCGGGGCTGGCAGGTAGAGGGGAAAGAGGAGAGGTGAGAGAAAAGGTGGGAAATTCCAGGGGATGGGATTAGAGCAGAATAAAGGGTCCGTTTTTCTTCCTTTCCATCAACAAACCTCCACCCAAAAGGAGGTTATTAAAAAAAAAACACCCACACCACGAGACGGTTGGGACCAGAGGGTGGGAAGACGCGGAGGCGAGACGCGCCCACCTAAGGCCTGGCATGTGCGAGGGCCCAGGGGCCCGCAGTGGTTGAGCACGAGCAGGGCGGGCCGCCACCTCGGGGCTGCGTCCGCGTCCCGCCCGGGCCGCCCCTCGGGGCCACGCGCAGCCCGCGGCTCCATCGCGCCCTCCTTCCCGTCCAGGTGGGCGTTGGGCTCTTTGCGAGGACCCCGGCGGCTGGCCCGGGGGAGGCGGCCGAGGCGGCGGCGGCGGCGGCCGGGGGCGACATGGCGGAGGAGCAGGACCTTTCGGAGGTGGAGCTGAGCCCTGTGGGCTCCGAGGAGCCCCGTTGCCTGTCCCCGGGGAGCGCGCCCTCGATGGGACCCGACGGCGGTGGCGGCTCAGGCCTGCGTGCCAGCCCGGGGCCTGGTGAACTAGGCAAGGTCAAGAAAGAGCAACAGGACGGCGAAGCGGACGATGACAAGTTCCCCGTGTGCATCCGCGAGGCCGTCAGCCAGGTGCTCAGCGGCTACGACTGGACACTGGTGCCCATGCCTGTGCGCGTTAACGGCGCCAGCAAGAGCAAGCCGCACGTCAAGCGGCCCATGAACGCCTTCATGGTGTGGGCGCAGGCGGCGCGCAGGAAGCTGGCGGACCAGTACCCGCACCTGCACAACGCCGAGCTCAGCAAGACGCTGGGCAAGCTCTGGAGGTGAGCACCCGGTCCCAGCTTGGGGTCCTTGTGGGCTAGACTGCCCCCCCACACCCACCCCGGAGCGGGCCCCTCTCCCAGGGACAGCCATCTCCTGGGAAGACCAGGGGTGGGGACCAGGCCCTCGCATCTGCCACAAGTGGCCTTGTGGGGCGGTACTCGCTGTCCACTCTGGAACTCAGAACTCCAGCCGCGGCATAGGCCCGGCCATCCTATTCTGGGCTGAGGGCTGAAAGGCGCCCCCTCCTGGTTGGAATCCTGTGAGTGGCAGGCAGCAGAAGGTGGTGGCAGGGAGGCTTTACTGACTCCTTGCATATACTCCAGGGAGAAAAACGCTTGGGAAAGAATGGAAGGCCTGGCTGGAGGTGCTGGGAAACTGAGGCAGAGAGATGGTGAGGTGGGAAAAGTTGAAGGAAAACTAGGAATCCGGACGAGAGTCTTGGAAAATAGGGGATGGAGGTGTGCACTTCCCGCCGCCGCAAGGTCTCCTGTCCCAGCGTCTCTCTGGACCTTCCTGATCCCACCCTCCAGGCTGAGGGCTTCTTTATTCCCAGGATAGGGCACACAAAAAGAGGCCTCCCCTCCCACACTGACCCAGAGCCATTCCACTCTCTCCAAGTTTGGCGCCATCTTTCCTCCCAAGGCCCCACCCAACATTGAGCAACCTTTTCCCCCAACCCTGGAGCTGGGTCTGAGCACCCTGGCCAGGAGGAAGCTTGGCCCCCTTGCAGCCTAAGGTCCCTTAGAGATCTAGGCTGCCTGGGCCCAGTTCAAATCTCTGGGCAACATTCCCTGGAAGAGGAAGTCTCCAATCCTTGACCCTGGGGCTCACCTGGCCCCTTTCAGATGTATGGAGCAGGGCATACCCCACCCCTCTCCAGCTACCAAAGAGAACAGGAGCTTCAGCAGATGCCAGCCTACAGAGGTCACCTGAGTCCCACTAGACTGCCCAAGAGACAGTCCAGAAAGCTACTACAAAGGTCACATAGCTGTTGGTGGCAGTAAGGGCCAGAACCCAGTCTCCCAACCTGCTGTTGGAGGTTGTCCCCACATTGTCCCTGGTGACAGTGGTGGGTCACCCTTCACTCAGCAGTGGTCTGGAGATGATGAGGGTAGACAGAGAAGACTTCCGGGCTTGAGGAAGCCTGGGGTCTGTTGGAGGAACCTGCTCCTCCTGCTTCCTCCTCTTTGCTGGCCCAGCATGAAAACCAAGGGCTTAGAGTAGAGGAATGAGCAGGAGGGTCCCCAAGAGACAGAGTGATTTGTATCTAGCCCTGGCTGGTGCTTACCATGTGCTTGCTAAAGGCGTGGCACCCTCCTCACTCCCAGCCCTTGCAGCCATCAGCCCCTGAGCAGACTGGGGCTGAACCACCAGCTGCTACATAGGCCCAGCGAGTCCAGCTGTGTCCCAGAGCAGAGATAGCAGCTAGTTTCTCCGACCAAAACCCATCCAGATCATGGTAGGGCTCAGCCCAGGTCAGTGCCTTTGCAGCTATAGGATAAAGAAAAGCAAGTGAGAGACACACAACCAGAAGGAAGATAGATGGGCAGACAGAGCAGGCCACAACTGAGCAGACCAGTGAGACACAAAGCAAGGATGGACCCCCCCACTCTCCCACAACCATCCTCCCACTGCCAAGGATTTAAGAGGGGTCCCTCCATTGTCCCTGTCCCAGTTCTACCACCCCAGAACCTAGGCTTGTGCCCCTTCGGGGGGGACTTGTTTCTGGCCACCACTCAGGCTGTGCCCACAGAGGTCCACCTGAGGCAGGGTGGACAGAAGAGCAAGCCCTGCTGGCTGAGGACCCAGCCTGAGGGGTGGATGGTGGGAAAATGGCAAGGCTCCAAGGCTGTACCAACAGGTGGTAGCTCCCTGGGCCATGAGTGGGGTTCCTGAGAGACACTGGGATATGAGCTGGGCTGGCCAATCACTCCAGGAACTTCTGAACACTTAACAAGCTCATGACTCTTGGAACATCAGAAAAGGAAGTAGTTGAGTAGACAGAACTGAAAAACAGAGGTCCTAAATCAGAGAAAAACAAACGGGCAGACTGGGTAGGCTACGATGGGCTTGGGGTCAACTTCAAAGCACAGGTTCTAAGTGGCTGTGTGAGTTCCCCCAGGCGCTAACCTTGGAAGCCATCTGTGGAGGGATCCAGGGTGGTTGCTTGGAAAGAACAATCAGAGCCAAGGCTGAAACCCCTCCCACCAGCCCCTTGCCCAGGTGGCTATCTTACGGTATTGAACTGACAGGAGGACAAAATGCAGCAGGGAGCCCCACTGGAATTTCCAGTTTGAGTGGGGAACCAGCCTTCCTTCTCCTTGCCCCCCTCCATCCCCTACCACCCGACCATTTCGGATCGGGTCGGGCTTCTGTCTGGGTTATGCTGAGAACTAGCTTCACAGGTCACAGTGAGATCCAGCATTACAATCTTACCTCTTTTCTGTCCTGTGCAGCCCCCTCCACACTCCCTGTTTGCTTGGTTTTTCTGTTTGTTTTTTGTTTTTTGCTGACTGCAGGTTGCCAGCTGGGCAGGGGGCCCTGGGAATAGTCAGGGTAAGAAAGTGAGTTCAGTGTGGCTGGTCACCCAGGAGCGTCTGTGCTTGCTGGGGCCTGTGGCTGGGAAGGTGCCAGCATCCCACCAGAGACTCCCAGCCTGGCCTTGTAGTCTCCACTCTGAGCTAAAGGTGTGTACTAACCCCAGTGGAGCCTTGCTCAGCTAGAGGGTCCCTTGGAGAATGCTGGGCAGGATGGAGGTCCACCAGGAGGCTAAGCTGCAGAAGAATGCTGCTGCGGGCTAGGAGGTGCCTGGCATGACCACCCCCTCCCACTCAGGGAGAGGAGAATCGGCCTTCAGCTGCCTGGGGGAAGAGGGCATCCAGTGGGTATGCAGGGTGGGGCCACTGGAAAAAGACCCTCCAGATAGGGCCAGAGCTGCTCCCACAGATTGGCGGACTCTCAGTCCCTGTGTCTGGGAGTCTAGAATCTGTGTGCTCAACCCCCTCAGAAAGGTACCCCATTCTGCCCTCCTCACCCTGGGCAACCAATCCTGGCCTGAGGCTGGAGTCGGGTAGGTGGGGCACAGCAGTCAGGCCTTCCTCCTACCATGGCTGCTCTGTCCTAGGGTCTGGAAGAGGCTTGAGCTTCCTCTACCTTTTGTCACCCCTTGGACAGGCATACAGGGTCTTCTCCAGAACAGAGTTCTCCCCATAGTGAATGGGATTCATTCCACCCTGTTCAGTCCTACCAAACTGGAATTCACCAAATTAGTATTCCAGAGTTGAGGGCACACCCTTAGGCCCTCCTGTCCAACCCCCCACCACCACCAAGCAGCATCTGGGTAGCACCTGTTTCTCAGGACCCAGTATAGGGCATGAGTATCTGTTACTTCCAGTGATCCCACCCCAGCGAGGTAGATACTATCATATTCATTCTATAAGTGAATTCTATAAGTGAAAAAACTAGGGCTCAGAGAAACGACTTGTTCAAGGTCTCACCCAGCTAGTAAGTACAGAGACTGAGTTTTTCTTCAGCCCTGCTGCTTCTCTGCACACCTCCAGCCCCAGGGAGCTCACCCTTAATGAGACAGCCAGATCCACTTGAAGACAGCTTTGGTGATACCGTTTTCCTTTCATTAAACCGACACCTGCCCCTGGGAAGCTCTGTTCCTACCTCTACTCCCATCTTTGGAGTTCTCCAGATCCTAACAGATTTACAGGCTGACATCCAAGGCCACTGATGTTGTTGATTCTTGGCCTGGCATCTTCCTGGCCCTATCCATAGGGACAGTCTCACCTGGGCCCTGCCTTCTGGGCTCCCCATCCTTCCATGTGCTTTCCAGGGCTAACCCTCAGAGAGAGGCGAGCCTGGGCACTCTGGCACTCATGCTGGCTATGCTGTCCACCCCCATTGCCTCACCTCCAGGCTGCTGAATGAGAGTGACAAGCGCCCTTTCATTGAGGAGGCTGAACGGCTCCGGATGCAACACAAGAAGGACCATCCTGACTACAAGTACCAACCCCGGCGGCGGAAGAATGGGAAGGCAGCCCAAGGGGAGGCAGAGTGCCCAGGTGCGGAATCCGAGCAAGGAGGGGCTGCTGCCATCCAGGCCCACTACAAGAGTGCCCACCTGGACCACCGGCACCCAGAAGAGGGCTCCCCCATGTCAGATGGGAATCCAGAGCACCCCTCAGGTGAGTGCTGGGCTGAAGGAGGTCAGGCAATTTGGAAAGGAGTCTTGGTGGCCTGTGACTTTGATGCTCCCCAGCAACCCTGGGCTCTGGAAGGGCTGGCCCAGCTGGGATACACAGGCCAGAGGCAACTCAGTGGGCACTCCAGTGCCCCAAGAGATGGTTGGGCAAGATGGCACTGGCCAGGGCTGATGGAGGGGGCACTGCTGCTGGAAAAAGAGAGCCAGTAAGGAAGGCACAGAGGCCATGGGGTGAGAAGAGGTTGCAGCAGTCATAGCAAGGAAAGGCAAACAGTGTGCGTTTGAGAAATGGGACATCAAACGGTGGAGAGAAAACCACTGTCCCTCCCCACCCCGTTCTCTGTCAGGAGAGACAAGGTATGTGATGCTGAGCACATGCCATGGAGGACCAGACATGGCCCAGCCCATTCCTGTTCAATTTTCATTTATGATTATAAGAGCTGATATTATCTGAGCACCTATTGTTTGCTGGGCACTGTGTCAGTTGCTTTATATATACTAAGCCCCTCAATCGTGTAGACAGCCCTGGATGGTGGTATGGGGTACCCAATGGCCTGGGCTCAGGTCTCAGAGGGTAGCAGGTTACTGTCATCTTACAGATGAAGATACATAGAAGAGGAGCTTGCCATGCAGCTGAAGTCTGAGCCCAAACAGTTGGGCTCCCCCATCACTGCCTGGTTTGCATTCCCCCAAGTACAGAAGTGTCACACTCAGGTCTGACACAGGGGAAGTACTCAGTGAGCAGAGCTCTGCCATCAGAAGACACTAGAGGGGACATCAAAGGTACCACCAAGAGAAGCCGAGGGCCCCTGGCCTTAGAAGCCCACAGCTAGAGGGAGGGGCAGGGATGAAAGCAAATGAATTGTGCACATGACGAAACAAGGACACGAGAAGCCCCTTTGAGATCCAGAGGTGCAGCACCCACCAGACTGTAGTTGAGAACGTTTCTTATTCCTTTACTGACAAGAAAACTGCTCAAGAGAAGAGGTATTTGTCCAGAGCCACATGACAAGTGACAGAGCCAGGATTCAAGGCCCAGGTCCAGAGCCGTCAGCCAGAGCAACTTTAGATCTGCTTCTGGTCTGATGGGGGGCACAGCCTGCCCTCAAGCAGTAACCAGTTTCATAAGATTATGGACTTGTCTGTCTCCAAAGGGTTGTCCAGTCCAGTCTCCCTTCCCCACACACGTACTCCTCACCTTCAGAGACTCAAGGATGCATACACACCACACCACGGACACGCGCGCGCGCGCACACACACACACACACACACACACACACACACACGGCTCTGGACCATGCACAGAGCCTCCACAGAATGAAATAGCCCGTGTGGGCTTTTTCTTACCCTTCAAAACCCAGTCCAGACACCTTCAGTGAGTCACTAGGGTAGCAAGGGTTCTGAATCCTTCACCTGTCACTTTACAACAATACCTCCCACTCTAGGCACATGTGGTCTCTGATCTTCCAGAATAAGAGCTTTGGGACGTAGGGGCCCATTTTATTTTCATTTGTATCCCTAGCACCTGACACAGCGCCTCCAAGTACTTGCTGAATGGCTGTGTGGATGAGAAAGTGAACAGACAAAGGAACAGTGGCCAGTGTCTCAGTACCCTTCTAAGCAAGGAGGGAAGGAAGCTCAAGAGACAGCAAGTTAGTACTGCCCAGGGTATGATGGAGCTGCCCATAGACAGTGGGTATGGCAGGGGCAGGCTCTGGAGGAGGGGGAATGCTGAAAGGGACACACCACCATTTGGGGGCCCAGGTAGGAAGCAGGCACAGGTGAGCCAGACACAATGAGACAGGCAGTCCAGAGTGGAGAGAAGCAGGGAGAGCAGCAAGAAAATGCCAAGGGTACCTTGAAGAGCAGGCAGGGAGCAGGCAGGGTGCAGGCAGGGCTCCAGCCATGGGCCAGACCACAACAGGGTCAGCTGCTGAGGAACAATGGGAAAGAGCAGCACAGCAGGGGGGCCCACTTCAGACCCGGTAAAGAACTTAATAGGAGAGGCTTTCCAAAGTGAAGCCGGCCTCTCCGGGTCGGAGTCGGGAGGCAGAACCATCCCTGAGATTGGAGAACTTCATGATTTTCCAGCATGCTGACACAATATGTGAACCTTATGAGGTCAGTAGAGTCACACCTTAGCTTCCTGGAGACATCTGCTCCTGACAGTGGGCCCCGTGGCCCACTGTGTCCACCTGCCTCTGACCTGCTTCCCTCCTTGCTCTTCTCTCTTGTCTCTCATCCAGGCCAGAGCCATGGCCCGCCCACCCCTCCAACCACCCCAAAGACAGAGCTGCAGTCCAGCAAGGCTGACCCCAAGAGGGATGGGCGCTCCCTGGGGGAGGGCGGGAAGCCTCACATCGACTTCGGCAATGTGGACATCGGTGAGATCAGCCATGAGGTAATGTCGAACATGGAGACCTTTGATGTGACTGAGTTGGACCAATACCTGCCACCCAATGGGCACCCAGGCCACGTGGGCAGTTACTCAGCAGCTGGCTATGGGCTGGGCAGTGCCCTGGCTGTGGCCAGTGGACATTCTGCCTGGATCTCCAAGCCACCAGGTGTGGCTTTGCCCACGGTCTCACCCCCTGGTGTGGATGCCAAAGCCCAGGTGAAGACAGAGACCGCTGGCCCTCAGGGGCCCCCACACTACACCGACCAGCCATCCACCTCGCAGATCGCCTATACCTCCCTCAGTCTGCCCCACTATGGCTCTGCCTTCCCCTCCATCTCCCGCCCCCAGTTTGACTACTCTGACCATCAGCCCTCAGGACCCTATTATGGCCACTCTGGCCAGGCCTCTGGCCTCTACTCGGCCTTCTCCTACATGGGGCCCTCTCAGCGGCCCCTCTACACCGCCATCTCTGACCCCAGCCCCTCTGGGCCCCAGTCCCACAGCCCCACACACTGGGAGCAGCCAGTATATACGACACTGTCCCGGCCTTAAAATGGCCATGTCACCACCAGGCCCCACCTGGCCCTCCGGGCCCCTTTCCCCAGCCTGTGTGCCCTGTTCCTCACCTGTCCCAGGCCTGGTGGTGACAGTGGAGGAGGCTGCAGAGGATGACAGTGGCGGGAAGGCTCTCTGCTGGCTCCTGCCCTGATGACCCATTACCCTATCCCAGCTCTGGAAGCCCAGGCCTGGCTGACAGCTGGGCAGAGGAAGGAGGATGAGGGGCTTTCCCTCCCCCAGAAATGACCCTCTATTCAGGACTTGAGAAGGACCACTCATGCCCTCAGGGAGGGAGAAAGCATCCAGGGTTGGATGGGCATTGGAGGCCTTGCCACTCCTGTTTCCTCTCTCATGGAGAACGAGGGTCTCACAGGCCCCTGTACCATCTGTGGCATAGTTCGTAAGAGCCAGGATGCCCAGGGACCTGCATCAGAGTCTAGAGATGACTGTCCTGTCACGCAGGGGCTGAGGACAGCTTAACAGCCTGGTGAAGAGTGGGGTGGCGGGGTGCTCAGTGGGAATTCTCATTTCAAATCCCCTCCTCCCCTGAAAACAGGAAGGAATTGGCACAGAGGCCCCTAGATCCAATTCAATGCCAGTAACCTCATCTGTTGTCTAATCAAAGGGAGCCCCATTTTCCACCACAGGGTTGGGGTGAGGAGGCAGGGGCTCCAGGAAAGAATTCAGAGACAATTCACAGAGTCTTCCTCCCTGGGCTCCTGGTCAGCTGGCTCCCTCTTTCCTCATTGGACACAGTGGGCCCCACCTACCTGGGCTCTAAGAGTTAGAGCTGCACAGGCCAAGACCTCTGCTCCAGGAAGAGATGCAGGGCCCATCATCCAGGCTGCTGGCAGCAGGCTGGACATGAAAGTCCTGTCATGTACATTCTGCCCTCGCCTTTTGCCCTTTGCTTCCCAGTGGTATCTGAATAAAGTATGTAGTTGTGTCTGCCCCTATTCTCCTGTTCTGCAGCCCCACAGTCCACATGTAACGCATTGCTGTCCCCTTATTTATCTCAGTAGTCCCCTCGCTCCCTCTCCTAGCTACCCCAGCCCCTATTAACTCTGCATTAAGCATTCCAAATAATAAAATTAAAGGTTCCGGTTACCTGCTTGGTGGGCCTGACCTGGCCTGTCTCTTGGTCTCTTCCCTCTATCTGTGCTTCCTCAGTAGCTAGGGGGTACAAAGGAGGGACAACCCAAGGGTCTCTCTCTCTCCCCTAAGGAAGTGGAGACAGTGGAGTGGGTTAGGACTGCCGGCCTTCAGGTGGGTGGCTCTGCACAGGAACTAAAGTCACAGAGAGGAGCCTTTCCCTGACAGGGCTAGGCCCTCCGCATAGGGGTCATTCACTCTCAGGCCCACCTGGAACTCAGTGCAGACCCTCTGCTTACACGGTTTGAGGGAAATTTGCAAAAAGTTCAAGATACAGGTATTTGAAAGGGAGCAGGTGGGCTGAACCTGATTCCTTGAGGTCAGCAGTAGGGCATGGGCCTTCAGGGTGTGCAGATGGGCCTTCTGTTGCCTCACCCCTCCACCTCCCATGTCCTCTAGCACACACATGGGTACACACACACACCAGTTGAACCTTCATAGAAGCAGCCTGTGTCCAAGTCTAAACCTAGAATGTCAGACAAGCAGTCCGTCCTTCAGTGATCTCCCTAGTTCTGTCCTTGGTAGAACTAACTTGCAAGCACATGACCCCAGGGACAAGGGAAATCTCTTGACTTCCTTGATCCACCGACTGGCAGCTCTGATGGCTGGATGTCCTCACAGTACACTTACTGTGTGCTCTTGGGTCACAGGCTATGTCAGGTGTTCTGTCATTCAGGCCTGTGGGGAGAGTGGGTCCTGTCACTGCCCCCATGCTCAGATAGGGAGACCCAAGCTTAGGAGGGTTGAAGCTAGGAGGTGCTGGTGCCAGTGTGAACCCAGCCCTCACTCCAAAGCTTGTGCCCTCCACCATAATCCCCTCCACCTGCACAGTTTGCAGACTCTACTTCCCTTCAAATTTGGACCTTTAAATCTGCTTCCACTGCTCCAGAGCTCCTCCCTTCCACCTGTAGGCCCCAGCTCCTGACTTCCTAGGACTAAACCAGTCCTCCCAGCATGGTTGCACCCCCTCTAACTGGAAGCCGCATCCAGCAAGCTCTTCACACTACCTCCCTGAAACTGCTGGCTCCCTTGAAGACTGGTGACCCAAACCCTCGTTCTTTCAAACAGTATCTTCTGCAAAGTCAGACCACCCAAACCAGATATAAACGGGTTCTGGTGTTTTGTAGATAAATGTAGGATTTTATACTAATTTTTAGCCGGGAGCCAGTGGCTACTTGGGAGGCTGAGATCGGGAGGATTGCAGTTCAAGGCCAGCCTAGGCAAATAGTTTGTGAACCCCATGTGACTAGAGGTGTGGCTCAAGTGGTAAAGCACAAAGCCCAGAATTCAAAACCCAGTCTCACAAAAAAAAAAAAAAAAAAAGCCAAATAATACTAATCTTTAACAGATTTAATCTTATTCTAGTTGACTAGTTTCCCCACCGGTACTAAATCTTGGAAACTAGCTCTCTTCAGAGCTTTATGCATCTGCAAACTTGGATATCCTCATTTAAGTCACTAATAAAGGCTGAACTGAAGAGGGACAGAGCCTGTGTACACCACTAAGGATCTCTCTCCACCAGCTCTGGTCGCTACACTCAAAGGAAAATCTAATCAGTTCTGAATCATCACAGTACATCAGCATGGAGTGCACACTTCTCCATCCGTCACAGCAGTCCAGAGGCCACCCAGTGCCGACCTGTGGCATTCCTTAGATCTACCAGACCAGAAAACATTGGGGAAGACTTTTTTGGCATTACTGACTCTTAGAAACCCTATGCTGCCTCCTGGACACCCACTTTACTATTTCAGTGTCACCAAATATATAGTATCCTACTCTAGAATTGTGGTGGAGATCCACCAGGATCAACCTTACATGCTCACAAGTTTTACAACTCGTCCTTTTCTCTTTAGTGAAATGGACATTTGTTCATTTCTGGCTTGCACACTATTCATGCACTTGCAGGGGGCAGCAGGAGGGGAGTGTGGGGTTTGGACTTGGAGCTAGCAAGGCCACAGGAGGGGCCACATCCAGGAGCTGAAGCCACCACCTCCAGGACCCTGCCCCAGGGGTGTGGGAGGAGAAATGGCCCTGAGAGAGGATGAATAACCCAGAAGTCAGAAGTCCGGGTTTGTACATGTCCCCTAGACTACGGACTCTCAGTGTGCTCTGGTCTGATAGTAGCTCCACTTGTAAACAAAGGAGCAAGGTGTGTTTCTGGAAAGGACTGATGAGACTTATATCTAAACCCTGAGAAATGCAGAACCAATAGTGGTACAGGTGACTTTGCATTCAAGAGAAGTGAAACCTGGGCCTGGCCAGCTGAGTAACAAGGGGCTCCCCAAAAAGGGAGCAGAATGGGAAAGGAGAGGTAAGAGAAAAAAAAGCCCCCTTCCTCCCATTTCCTTACACCCTATCCCCTAAGGGTTAACCTCCCTCCTCTCCCGCCCAAACCCCATCTCCCTTTAATCACATCTGATACTGAGCAGCCCAGCAGGGAACAAAGAGACCATTTAGAGAAATAGGGCAGAGAAAGTGACCCCCGCACTCTGGGGCGGCTGCCTGGATGCCGGCACAAAGGCGGCATTTCAGAGCTGAAATTTCAGCACCCAACTTGATTAAAGGATTCCATGGGTTTGGAGAAGGGTGGCAGGGGTGCGAAGTCCACTGCTCCCTGAATTAACCCTTCTCCAGAGCAGCAAACACCCCTCCCACTCATGGCCACTCATCCTTCCCACCCTGTCCAGGGCACTCTGTCTGTCCTGGGGACCCTGCCTGTTGCAGAGGTTTGGCAAACAGGCTCCTCCTCCAAGAGGCTGGCAGTGGAATGGAGATCTGGCTGGAGTATGCAGGAAACCGATCTTCCTTCTATCTATGTTGGTGACCATGTAACCCACCCTGTCCTTGGAAGAGGGAGGAGCCAATGTAATTGGTCCCTCCCTGGGGGAGGGGGGAACAGACAGGCATCTGTAGGGTGAAGAAAGAGGCCTCCCAGCACCTGAGGCAGAGGAAGGGGAGCTCTAGCTTGGGCAGAACCCAAGATCACATCGTCCGAGCACCCATCCCAGTCCAGGCCTGAGGATCACAGAACCCATAGCAGGGAGAGGACATTTCACACGGCTGGGAAGCAGAGGGCGCAGGTGTCAGACCAGAGGTGGGCCACAGAGGGCAGTGTGTGGCTGTAGCCTGAGAATGAGTAGGACACGGTGGGGACAGAGGTGGGCAGGTGTTAGATCCGTGCTCCAGCTGCTGACTTGCCAGCAGGGCTCTGCTTGGGGGGATGGGGATCGTGGCACCCCCACGCTTCCTGCTGGGGCACTGCTCCTGAAAGGGGATCTGAGCCCTCGATAAGAGCTTGAGGCAGGTCCTTAGGAAACAATGGGTGGCTTGATGAGACCTGCTCTGTGATACTCCTGAGAAGGGAGAAGCCCCTGCAGCCAGTCCCCACTGGAAAGGAAATTGGGGGTTTCCGTGGCAACCAGCTCCCTGGGCACAAAGAGTCGTCTGTCTGCTAGGAAGGCAGCTGAGGTGTCTCCCCTGCAGCAGCCTTTGCTCTGGTGCGTGGGGAGATGGAGGGAGGGATGCGGGGGATCCATGGGGCCAAGGCCCCTAGTGCTTCATAAAGAACTGACAATCACTGGGCCACTGTAGTAAGTGCATGCTCCAGGCAGCAAAGCAGGAACAGGGAGAAGCAGGTGGCAGCATCACAGATAGCAGGAGGTGGAAGGGTCAAAAGGTTCAACAGTTTATTATTTACATGTATAAAGTGAGCATCAAAATTGGGCGTGATCAGGAAGAGCTCCAACTCAGTCAGTGATGATAAGCTCATCCACCCCCCAGTCTTCATAGCTCCCATCTGGCAGGTAGCGACGAATGATGATGGGGATCTTTCGGGCCCTGTGGCAGGAGAGAAGTCACAGGACATGAGGGCTGGTGCCCCCAGCTTTGCAGCAGAGGACCAACTGGTAAAGGTCCATGTCACATTAATGCCCTCCCTCCTCTCTCCTGGTGGACTGACAGGAACAAGCATCAACATCCCCAACCAGGGAAGCCCAAGAGATGCCTGCAGGGCTCTGGAGACAGGAACCGTAATTTAGGGGACTTACTTGAGTTCCTTCATGGCGATGAGCAAAGGATCTGTCTCCCCCTCCAGCTCCACCATCACAGGGGCACACATCCTACAGGGACAGGGACAAGTGTTGGAAAGACTGCAGACACAGGGGTAAGGCCCAGCAGACAGCAAGGGTGGGGAGCAGTGTACAGAGCACTGCCAGAGACCTGCCCTGCTTAGGGTAGAATGGGAGTCAGCAGACTGGATCTAAATTGTGCCTCCAAATACAAGTCACTAGATTCCTCTCCAGATTTCAGTATCCTCACTTGAAAGCGAAGAAAATAATCCCTGTCTGGTCTACAATGATGCCAAAACACTAATGGTAAATAAGCAAGGACTCACTAAGTACCATCTGCTGTTGTCAGCTCTTTAAACACTAATCTCATTCTGGGGAGATACTACTTTAACTATTTTGATACCATTTTACTGATGAGGAAGCTGAGGCGCAGAAAGGTCATTATAGCCAGTAAGTGCTAGAGCACAGATTTAGAACGAATATGCTCCTAACCACTGTGCTATGACACCTCCCACGTAACAGGCTAAAGATCTATAAACTCACAACCCAGCAGAACGGGTACTCTATCCTACCACTCCAACCCACTAGCACAAGCCCTGATTCAGTGCCCAGTTCACGTGCCCTCAATTTCCTTCTTTATCACAGCAACAGCACCACAGTTTCCAACCCTTCAGCCTGGCCCCCTCCCTAGCCTCCACATGGCCTCTCTGGTCAGGGCATTCCTCTGCTTACAACCCTTCCATGACTCTCCATGGCTGTCATGCCAGAAGCCAGTCTGGTCCCTGTTCACCTTTCTGGCATCCTCTCATGCTACTTATAGTTACTTTCGAACTTCCCAGCCTCCAGAACTGAATCAAATGAACTGAACCAAATGATCCAGTGTCAGGCATTTTGTTACAGACACAGAAAATGGGTAACAGCACCTGGCACTCCACATTGCTTCCCTTGGATCCTCTTACCAACTCTTCCTGTCCCTACAAACCAGGAAAAAGCTCTGGAAATCCATCACTTAATGAACTGGAGTATTCTGACTCAGTTTGCATGTGCTTCTCTTGGCACCAATCTCACTAGACCACTGTCCACAGTACATCAGGAGCTCCTGGTGGCCCAGGGCCACATGTGTTTGACTACAGAGGGGCCTTAAGGCCCTAGCACAATACTTGGCCCACACAGCAGAGGCTTCAAAAGAAAACAAGAAGATGTCAGTTCTAGGCCGGTCTCCTCCAGGAAGCCACCCTCCAGTTTATACTAATGGATCTAGAATTACTAGGAGATATACTAAAAGTACAAGTTCCAGGGTCCTTCTCCACATCACCTGAACAGAATCTCTCATGAAGGCATCTGAGACTCTGCACTTGCAAAGTTGCCCAACCAGTTTAAGAGTCATCACTTGTTAATTTTATTACTAAATGTCCTGATTTCTGTTACTCTCAAAAGTCTGAAAATTTTCCAATGGCAGAAACCAAGTGTTTAACTTTCCCTATATCCTCTATCAATAAGTATCAAAAGGGCAGATGTTGTAGCACATGCCTGTAATCCAAACTACTAGGGATGAAGAGTCAGGAGGATCTTGGTTTGAGGTTAGCCTGAGAAAAAAGTTAGCAAGATTCTATCTCAAACACAAGCTGGGGCTGGGGATTTGGCTCAGAGGTAGAACACAGGCTTAACAGGTATAAGGCCCTGAGTTCACACCCTAGTACCACAAAAAAAAAAAAAAAAAAAATGCTGAGCACACCTGTAATCCCAGCTACTCAGGAGGATTAAAGTCTGAGGCAGGCCCTGGCAAAAGCACCAGACACCATCTGAAAAATAATCTTTAAAGGGGCTGAGGGAGTGACTCACATGAGTACTTACCTAGTATGTAGGAGGCTCTGGGTTCAATTCCAGTATGACAAAAAAAAAAAGTATTTAAATGTTCTCAGACCTGGCGGTGTAGCTCAGTGGTAGAGCACGATCATAACATAACGAGACCTGGCCTTCATCCCCAAAATCAAAAAAAAATAGAAATACACCTAAAATATAAAGCTTTAAAGAATGTGGCAAATTACTTGTCCCGACCTGCCTATGCCTTCTTCCTCTAAAGATATGAATGACTCAAGGGCATTCATCCACAAGGGCATTCATCCAGTGCCTACCATGTGCATATTATGTACAAAGGGCCCTTAAGTAATGTGTCTTGTGCCAGGGCCTCCACAGATAAATGTCATCCATCCACTTAGGAAGTGAACTGACAGACACCAGCCACCAGGTGGTACTAATGAGTCAGACTGAAACTTCTTCCCAAACCTGAAGCTCCTTTGTTCAAAACCTAAGTGCAGTCACAAGCCCAGTGGTAGGGATTTAAAAGCCAGCCTGGGTTGTGCAGGGGCTTACAGCAGGCGGGAAGTCACCACATGGTGTTATATCCCTTAGTGGGAAGTCTATGCTGGACCATGCTTTGCTCCCCAAGGAAAACGGGACACTTGGGAGTGGTCAGGATGTCAGCCTCAAAACCTTCCAGTGATCCTCCACACTGACCATCAAATGAATGTCAATCTGAACCTGTCACTCTAGGTACTAGAGACGCCTTTTCCACACTGTGTCCCAAGCCATCCCCTACCATAACCCATACCCATCTGCCTCCGCCTGGACCTTTCCTTGCACTGTTTCTAGCACTGGGATATCCCACAGGGCTATCTGTCCCCCCAGGGCTTCTAAACCCTTCAGAGCCCCCAGCCTCTTTTATGAGCCTTTTGTAAAGCACCACCCATGTCTGCCTTGGGTTCTGGGTATTTGTGCACAGGTCTATCTCCCCCACAAGAAAACACCTGGGGGAGCTGGAGATTACATCTTTAACAGGTGCCAGCACAGAAACTCGGCAGATAGAAGCAGTCTGTTTGAAAAATACTTTAGGAATTATTCTTCCCACTGGGCCATTTTCAGCCTAGATGGCATACCTCACAGAATGCCCCACAATGAGGAAATGTCCTGTAACTGTGCCAATCCTCATGGTAACCACGAGCTACACCCGAAATGTGTCTAGCGAGAAAGTAAATTTCTTGTTTAATTTTACAATCTAAATAGCCACATGGAGCTAGTGGCTCCATAACCGATGATGCAGGCCTAGAGAGTCCTGATCCTTGTGGCACCAAAAGATATCATATAGAATGTAGCTCCAGTGTCACCAGAAGAGCCAGGAGTGCAACCAGGCTAGTAAGAGGTCTATTGCTGACGAATGGGTGATTACAATATTGCCCAACCATGAAACTCTTCATCGAGGCAGACAGGATGGTCACCTTTACCTTGCAGGACTAGAAATGATCATCCAAGTGCTGTCTGAGCTTTAGGAAGGGAATGCAGATAGCACTGCAGCCCTTCTAGCATGCAGGCCTCCACACCTCTGTCCCCACTTTTCTTTCTAGCCTTTTGCCTAATTTCCCCTATTCCCTCTTGAACCATCCCTCCTCCAGACCCCCACATTTCCCACAGAAGCTTCTAAGAGGTTTTCAGTAGGAACTTCTTTCCTCAGCCTCATGTCTCCAGGACCTTCCACTGAAGCTGGTAACACTCCTGCCCAGGTGAACATGGGGAGAAAAGCAGGCATCTGGTCCAGCGTCTTCGAGAGCCCTGCTTGCTCAAAAATGCTTGTAAGTAGAGGGTGCCTTCTGGACTCTTCTCCATTGTGCCCCCAACCTCACCAGACACACGGAGGCCTGTACACTGTCTGTGCTAACCAGGTGACTACAATCACCAGACAGCCTGATCCCCACCTGTCTACTGTCTCTTCCTGGAGCTTGCTCTTCCAAGCTTAGTAAATGGACAAGCTGCTAATTTCAGAGTCCCCAGAGGCTTACCATTGCTCTAGGCTTTCCCAAGAGGAAGGCCCTAGAGGAAGGCCCTCCCCACTCAGCTGAACTGGCCATGGTCTGTCCTCTTGCGTCAGGAAACAACTCAAGTCTAATGGGGCTGCTGCAGCCCTCTCTAACAGCACATTGTACAACAGTTTAGGGCTCTGAACTTACACTCTTGTTTTGCTCATCAGCATGACAGGCAATCATCCAGCTGTTTTGTATTGTTATTTTTCTCCTGTACTTTGACTTCTCTGTTACTTCTCATGTCCTATTTCTCTTATTAAATCACAGGCTCCCTGAGAACCACAGACCAGCACAAGGCCTGCACGCAGGGCAGCACCACCTCTGTTTAGAATGTGAGAGCAAGAAGGGTCTGTTTCCAGTTGCCATGCTGGGCAGGATCAGCGGCTCAGGGGCTCACTGTGGGCTGATGGAGCAGACGGTGAAGGGGCACACACTCACGCGATCTGGAGCGCTCGGGTACCCAGCACGCGAGCTCGCTCATACTTGGTCATGTATGGGGTGGTGATTCGCTTCTGGTTGGCCTGTGGTCGCTCCCCAGAGGGGAGGATCTCAACGTTCTCCTGACCCTCCTAGACATCGAGACAAAAAAGGGAAAATCTCAGATGTGAAGGTGTTCTGACTGTGACATCTGTCACACATCACCAGGGTTTAGTTTAGCAATCTGGCTGACTAGGCAGATGTCCCCTTCCTCCCTCACCACTCCATGTGCATCTTTCCCAAAGCTGCACAATCAGTGGAAGAAGACAACCCTCCTGGATAGAGAGGACCACTCTTTGATCAAGGGTATACAAGGAGCAGTGCTCCCCTTGCTAGAACCTCCAAATAAGCTCTCAAGAGGGAAAATCTCAGAGTATGTGTTTTGAGTGGGAAGAGGTTGATGACGACGATGACAATCACAACTGTTAATGCTTACTAGATACCAGGGACAATTCCACTGCTTACTAACATCTCACGTAATCCTCACAATGGCCTTCAGGGATTACAGTCCCTAATTCAGAGACCTGGAGAGTCACCTAACTTGGCCAAAGTCTCAGACCTGGCAGGAGAGGAATAGAGAGGTCCTCTAAGAAGTCCATGAGCACACCCTAAGCAGGGTAACTAAACCAATGGCATAAGTGGCCTGAAAAGGCAGAGTTACATATCTACACATGGAACAACTACTTATTAAACATCTCTTCTGGCTGGAGATATAGCTCCTTGGTAGACTTGGCTAGCATGAACAAGGCTCTGGATTTGACCCCAGCACTGGGAAAAAGACCTAAGCTAATCTAGGATAGGGATGTAGCTCAGTGGTAGAGAGCTTGCCTCAGGGTCCATCCCCAGGACCAGGGGGAAAAAAAAAAAAAGACTTGAGGTAATCCAGAAGAAGAATGAGTAGGAGCTCTGAAGCCACTATGAAAGTGAAAAGGAAGGGCACTCCAGGCAGGCTATGTAACAGTGCAGAGGACCAGAGTTCCAAGAGAGTGTGATACCCTTGAACAACTAATTATAAACTGTAACTAAAGCAAAAGGTCTGTATAGGATTGAAGGCAAGAGGCTAAGCTCTGCAATAAATAAATAAATAACAACTATTTACTGAGTGCTTACTGTATATCAAATACTGTTCTAAGTGCTTGGGACAGAACAGTTACTAAAGCAATCAAAAAAACGTTTCCCTTAGCGCTTACCTTATGATTAGTTTGTAAAACATGTAGTACAAATACAGAAGACAGCGAGTGCTGAGGGGGTGGTAGAGCGCCTGCCTAGCAAACATGAAGCCCTGAGTTCAAACCTCAGTACCATCAAAAAAAAAAAAAAAAAAAAACAAAAAACAAGTGGTGGTTGTTCACGCCTATAATCCTAGCTACTCAGGAGGCAGAGATCAGGAAGATCACAGTTCAAAGCCAGCCCCTGGCAAACAGTTCACTAGGCTCTATCTTGAAAAAACCGATCACAAAAAAGGGCTGGTGCAATGGCTCAAGTAGTAGAGAACCTGCCTACCAAGTCTGAGGTCCTGAGTTCAAATCCCAGTGCTGCCAAAAAGAAAAGATAGTCCAAGACAGGGAGTGATGGTGGGGAGAGGAGAATGCTGCGATTTAAACAAATGGTCACCCAGGCCTCATTGGGATGACACTTGGACAAAGACCTGAAGGAGGTGAGAAGGCAGGTCATGTGCCTATCTAAGGGAAAACTGTTCCAGGAGGGACAGTATAAACAAGGGATGTGAGTCTGGGGATATGGGAGAGTGCTTTTGAGTTAAGGTCACAGAGGGAGCAGGTGGCCAGATAGTGGAGGACCTTGTATGTCTTCCTGTCATTTACTCTGAATGACATGGGAAGCCACTGGTTAGGCTCTAAGCAGAGGAGATACATAACTTGACATAAGATTTTAAAGGATCACTGTCTACTCTGGTGAGAATATGCTAAAGAGGCAAGCGCAGAGCAGAAAGACCCTGAGGAAGCCCTGAGGTGACTGATTACACCAGCAGAGAAAGAAGAAGCACTGAAGCATATCTAGGAGGCAGAATCAAATAGGATGGGGTGAGAAGGGGACCAGAAGGTAAAGGTGGTTTCTGACTCAAGTGGATAGGTATCTGAAGGTGCCATACAGAGAGAAGAAACACAGTAAGAACGGCTTCGACTCCTCAGCCTAAAAAATTGAGAGCCCTCTCCTTCTCCAATGGACATCCACCTCTCCTCCCTCCATCAGTTACACAGGACAGAAGCTACTCATGAACTTGGCAACCTATCCATCTAGCTGTTCCAGCCCGAGACCTGGGAGTCACCCTTACCAAATCTCACTTCTACCAAAATACCTCTTTCATCCATTTTCTCATCACCTACACTACCAGCACCCACATCCAAGCCCTCACTGGTCTCGTCTACTCTTGTTCCTCTCCAATCCACTGCTCACTCTTGAGGCTACAGTGCACTCTTCTTTAGTTTTATTTATTTATTAAGAGAATCTGGATACATAGGACAGGCTGGCCTTGAACTCTCAATCCTTCTGCCTCAGCCTCTCAGGATTACAGACATGGACCACCAGGCCCAGAATGCACTTTCTAAAATGAAAATTAGATCATGCCACTCCCTGGCTTAAAACCTGTCAGTGGCTTATTGTTACTTTAGGCTATAAAATTTTGTCTGACCTAGGTCTTGCTTACCTCTGAAGTTTACCCCAGGCCACTCTCCCTCATGCTCCCTTTATAGCTCACATGGAAGAGCACCAGATTGCCTAATGTTTTACCTACCAGAAGACTGACTATTCCACAGCATGGGCTGGAATAAAAGCCTTTAGGCTCTTCCCCCACAACTGGAACACTGCTTACTTTAACTGGGATGCTTACAGCAGGGTCCGGGACCACAAACAGGAGGAAGAAACATTCGGGTAATTATAACCTCTCTAAGTTCTTAGCAGTTGGCTTGCAGAAGTAGGAGCCTACGGCTGAATACTGACCTCCTCAGCATTCTCCAAGTCATCAAGCCCTTCATCCTCTTCCACATCATCAAAGTCATCACCATCAAAACTGTACAAGAAGAAGACATTGGTTAGTTAGAGCATCACTTACTAGAAGCAAAGAGAGAGATCTATATTGCAGCTGAGATGTAGGAGGTACTCAGTAAATATCTACTTAATGAATGAATCAAACCAATTTCATTTTACTCCTTTAATCTTACCTTGAAGGCCCCAACTTTTGCTAGGACTCATGCGCCATTACTATTTCCCTCTCTTTTGAATTACTCCAGTGAGCATGTAGGCACTTCCCATCTTTTTTCCTTTTCCCTTTTTTTTTAGATACTGGGAATTGAACTTAGAGCTTCACACATGCTAGTCAAGTGCTCTATCACTTAAGCTAAACCCTCAACCCTTTGACGCTTTTAATATTTGTTTTTGGAATAGGGTCTCACTACCTTTTTTGACAAGGCTAGCCTCAAACTTGTGTTCCATCTACCTCAACATCCCAAGTTCTGGAATTACAGGGATGTATCACCATGCCTGGCTCCCCATCTTTAGAAAACAAAAAAATGGGCTGAAGGCATGGCCCAAGCGATAAGAGTTCCTGCCCTACAAGCATGAAGTCCTGAGTTCAAACCCCAGTACTATTAAAAAAAAAAACAAACAACCCTAAAGCAAAAATCCATTGGCCACGGTAACTCATGCCTGTAATCCCAGCACTTGGAAGGAGGCAGGAGGACCATGAGTCCAGACTATATAGAGAGACCCTGTCTCAAAATACAAAACAAGGACTGGAAGTGTGGCTCAAGCAGTAGAGCATCTGCTTTGCAAGTGTGAGGCCCTAAGTTCAAACCCCAGTCCCACCAAAAAAAAAAAAACTTACTTCAGGGTTGGGGTGTGGCTCAGTAGTGAGGCCCTGGGTTCAATCCCCAGAACCAAAAAAAAAAAAAAAACCAAAAAAACTTCCTTTCCCCCCATAGTCCTAATTTCATGTTTCCTTTGGAGCCAAACTTGTGAGAGCTGTCTAACCTCACTGTCTCCAATTCTTCTGTTCCCATCCGTCATAATCTCACCCTGAGAAGACTCACCCTCCATCAAAACCACTCTTTTCAAGTTAATTAGTGATCTCCACATTGTTAGATTCAATAGAGAATTCTCATTCAACTCCTACTGCCTGGCACCATAGGGTTCTTCTAGCTTCCCACCATCTCTCACTTGATGCCAAGAACACTCACTGTCTCAGTGGTCCCCACCTCACTGGGGGCTCCTTGGAAACCTTATTTGGGTTCTCCTCCTTCCCCAAGCACTCAGTCACATCATCTCCTTTTTCTGCGGTGATTACTCATTCTCTTGATTATTCTTCCTTATTTCTTATTTGCCCTTATTCTATCTTCAGAACAGATCATCAGGGTGTCAGTGGCTCATGTATGTGATCCTAGCTACTCGGGAGGCAGAGATCAGAAGGATCATGGTTTGAAGTCAGCCCTTAGCAAATAGTTCATAAGCCCCTATCTCAAAAAAAAAAGGGGGGGAGGGGCTGGCAGAGTGGCTGAAGTGGTAAAACCACCTGACTAGCAAACCTGAGGCTGTGAGTTCAAACTTCAGTGCTGTCCAAAGAATAACAAATAAATAGGAAGAGATCGCTCTTCTGACCCTACTCGTGCAATCTATCAAGAAATCTGGAAACCTGGCACGGTGGCTCCCACCTGTAATCCTAACTACTTGAGAGGCTGAGATGGGGAGGATAGCAGTTCCAGGCAAGCCCAGGGAAATAGTTCAGAAGACCCCATCTCCAAAAATAACCAGAGCAAAATGGAGCGGAAGTGTGGCTTAAGCCGTAGAGCACCTGCTAAGCATGAAAATCCGAGTTCCAATCCAATCCCACAAGAAAGGAAAGGGAAGGGGAAAGGAAGGGAGGAAAGAAAGAGAAATTCGTTTGGAGCTGGGCATGATGAGGTATATTGTAATCCCAGTACTCGGGAGGCTGAGGCAAAGGGAATGGAGAGTTCCAGGCCAGCCTGGGTTACACATAGCGAGACTGTCTCAAAAAAACAGCAAAAGGGGCGGGGAGCGTAGGTTAAGTCGTAGAGCGCTTGCCTAGCAAGTGTGCGGCCCTGAGTTCAAACCTCAGTACGAGGATGGGGGATGGCGGGGATGTGTAAGGGGTACTACAGCGGAGCAGGGAGACGGAAAGGGGAAGGAAAAGGAACAAACCCTTTAACTCTGTCTTTACAACATACACCCCCCCACACACACACCACTATCACCCTAGTCCAGACCATCCTCTGGATTCCTTCTTAGTGCTTCCTTCCACCACTTCGTGAGCTCACACGACCCCGTACGTCTGCTCGTGGGCCTGACCCTTCTTCCTGAAAGTGATGCCGGGAGAGCCGGGGCTACACCTAACTCCTCTCAACAGCGTTCCTATTACACCACGCAGAACCCGGCTCGGCGGAAAGTTTGCTAAAGCACACCTTTTTCACTGATCCCCTGAACCCTCGAGCCTGCGCCTTTCTGTGCCCGGCCTCTGGCCCAGTCTAGGCTCCAGGTTCCCCGCTCTCCCCGCCAGCTAGGCCGCCCCACCCCCAGCTCCTCAGTCTCCTGAGATACTGGCCCTAGACCCCAGGCTCCTCAACCGCCTCATCTGCCCCTATCGAGGCTCCCGCAAAGACCACTCAGCTCCCAACTCACTTGTCTTCGTTGTCTGACATAACGCCCTAGTCGCAGCAACCGGGCTGGGAACCCCAACCCGCAAGCAGTCCCCAAACAGCGCGCCGCCGCCTCGCGCAGTACCACACGTCTACTGCGCGTGCGCTGTGACCCAGAGGAAATCACGTCCGGGAGGCCAGCCGAGGACGCAAAACTGCGCGTGCGCCGAGCGACGGGCGTTCGTTACCATGGTAGCCAGAACCGCTAGCCGCTAGCACTGCTACCAGGGATCCCACGGTGTTTCTGCCCGCGTCCACGCGGGTGCCTCTGTCTCCCGGAGCCCGCCGCTCTCTGTGAGGAGGGGGCCACCAAGTCGGGGTCTCACTTTAGGGTGAGGCTTCAGTTTGGGCTTATCTATCCAACGGATACTGTTGCGACTACGGCTATCTTAACTTTCTCTTCCTGTGGAGGGGACTCACCTGCCACAGGCACCAGGGGTCAGGACGAAGCTGTGTCTGTCTCCCTGGGTTGGAGTAGGAGGACCTGTCGCAGTATTAACTGGCTGCGTCCCGATTCTCTGCGCCCTCCATCCCCCACTTACAGGGCGCTGGGAGTGAGGAAGCAGATATTGGGATGGGGAGACGAGGGGTGTGTCATTGCGTCTCTCCCTCCTAGGTCTCTCCCATGGCTTCACAGGAGAGAGTGGAGGCAGTGACCAAAGAAACGGAGTTCTGGCGCTGCCCCAAGCCGGTTGCTTACACTCCGAGGACCTGCGAGCTGCTGAAAGGTGAGTGTGTTAAGAGGACACAGAAGAGGGCGGCGGTCACAGCTGCTCTCTGTAACTCAGTCCTCCTCCCGCATGTCCTGTGGCTTAGCAAGGGCTATTTTCCTTTCCAGATAAGGAGCCCAGGGTTCAGAAAGGTTTAGGGTGCTATGGCCTGTGAGGTTCCAAAAGCCAAAGGACTAAGAATCTTGGAGTAGCTAACTTCAAGAGCCTTCACACTTTTACTTGGCACTTTCCATCTTCCCAAGAAGCCTGATCACCTCCCCACCAAAGTCACATTCTCAAATGCATTTCCCGAATTGGGCTTAGCATAACCTATAATCAGATATTTAGTATCCCATCTATCTCTAGATGGTGAATCCATCAGAGATTGTGCATGTTTCTGCTCACAATTGTAGTTCCCGCCCCTGGCACATAAGTGAACAAGTATACATTGATTTACTCAATAAAAGTATGGCTAAGGCTAAGTCTACTATGCACTTTGTGCACTCTTCTAGGTGCTGGGGATACAGCGGTAGAAAAGAAACTGCAAAGAATTCTTGCTCTCATAGAGCTAATACTATAGTAGGAGGGTAAAAAAATAATAAAACAAATCAAAAGAACAGGGTTTGCCAAGAGTGTGGGTGCACTCCTGCAACCGCAGCTACTCAGCAGAGGCAGGAGATTGTGAGTTTGGCAAAGCTAGCAAGACCCTATGTCAAAAGCAAAATAAAAATAATAATAAAAGGGCTGCAGGCATGGTGAGACTCAGGATTCAAACCCCACTACCACACACACACACACACACACACACACACACACACACACACACAAATTCTGGGTGTAGCTCATTGGTAGAGCACATACTTAGCATGCCCTGGATTTGATCCTCAGCATCAAAAATATATTTAATATAAATGTGTATTTATATAAATATATACATCTCTGAGAATTCTGAGGTTCTGCGCTGGGGGTGTGGCAGAGAAATGGGGGGTAGGAGGATGAATATGGTGCAAATAACGTGTACACATGCATGTAAATGCAAAAATGATACCTGTTGAAACTTCCAGGAATGGAGGAGGGGGGATGAAGGAGACAGGTGAATTCAAGTATGATATATTTGTAAGTGTAAATGCCACAGTATACCCCCACCTAGCACAATAAAGGAAAAATAAATAAAGTCATAAATACATAAACACATCTATCTGCTGCAGCCTGGGAGGCCTCACTTCTGTGCTTTACTTTGCAGTGATGATGAAGGAATCCAAACTGACCAGCTTCCAGCAGCGCCACATCTTGGACACCATGAAAAGTAAGAGGCAATCAGTTCACAGAGGCTTTCTGGGCAGAGGGATTGAGGCCACATTTTTTTCCTCACCGGTGGAAGTGATGTTTGAACTCAGAGCTTCATGCTTGCAAAACAGGCACTCTACTGCTTGAATCACACCTCTCGTCCTTTTGCAGATGGGGTCTTTTGAACTATTTGCCTGGGGCTGGCCTTGAACCATGATCTTCCTAATCTTAGCCTCCTAAGTAGCTAGGATTATAGGCATGAGCCACTGGCACCCTGCAAGGCCACATTTTTTATGTTCCAATGTTACGTGGACGGGAACCTCATTTAAAAAGACAGAGGCAAAAAAATTGAATATATAGTATTTCTGACCTTTAGTCCTGAGGAATTGACCTCATGGAGCCTTTGCTTCTTCTGACACAGATCCTGGCACAATAATTCTCCTGGAGCCAAGCTCTAGAGACCTTATAAAGGAATCATGACCAATCAAGACTTCCTTCTCTGCTGAAGTAGTCTCTGCAGTCTGTCCTTCCCTGTCATCCACATAGGAGCTTTTCAGAGGAAAGGTGTATGTGTCTAATTCATAGCTTAGCTAGCAGAAACAAGAGGATTGAACTCCAGTCTAAGGAAAATATGCAAAACCTTCCACATCTCACCTCTCTGCATACATTGTATGTTGTTGTTTGTTTTGGGGTTGTTTACATTTTGTTTTTGGTGTGACTAGGGTTTTTTTTTTTTTTTTTTTTTTTTTGGTGGTACTAGGGATTGAACTCAGAACTTCATGCTTGCTAGGCAGATGCTCTACCACTTGAGACACTCCTCCAGCCTTTTTTTTGTGTAGGATTTTTTTGAAATAAGGTCTTACAAACTGTTTCCCCAGACCGGTCTTAGGCCATGATCCTCCTGATCTCTGCCTCACAAGTAGCTAGGATTAAAGGCATGAGCCATGGGCAACCAGCTAGGGCTTCACACTTTTAAAACAGGTGCTCTGTCACTTGAGCCACACCTCCAGCCTATTTTGCTCTGGTTATTTTAGAGATGGCATCTTGAGAACTATTTGCCCAGGCTGGCCTTGAGCCTCCATTCCTCCCAATCTCAGCCTCCCAAGTAGCTAGGATTACAGGCCTGAGCCACTGGCACCCAGCTACATTGTTATTTTTAAGGAAAATTTAAAAAGTGAAAGTGTACACAATACGAGGTTGAAATCAACCTTGTTTTCTGTGACTTAACTGAACCAATATTTAGTGGATCAGAACAGAGACCTGTGAAGCTGCTGTGGATAGACTGTGGGAGGCAGGCGTGGTGGTACACACCTGTAATCCCCACACTCAGGTAGTAGAGGTAGGAGGATTGAGAGTTAGAGGCCAGCCTAGGCTACATAGTGAGGCCGTTTCAACACCACCCCCTGGAGAGAGAGGGAGAGAAAGAAGGCTGAAAGCTCTGAGCTCTTGGAGTTTTAACCTACCAAAAGCAATTTTCTCTAAAGAAAGACTGTGCCTATCAAGATGGCACTTGTTCAATCACAGAAGTGGTGAACCAGAGGTTAATATGAGCAGTATCTGTCCAGCCCCAGCCAGAGGAGAGGGCCATGTCAAGCTAGTTTAGGGGTCAGATCTCCTTTGTTGTGGACAAGGACACCAGCTGCCAAAGGCTGGTGCTATCACATTTGAATTGTGTAACTCAACTTCCACATCCAGCAGTCTAATAATTTGATGTTCCTTGTAGTATCACCACAAAGAGAATGTGCTAGAAATCCCACTAAATGTAAATACTTCAAGACCAGGTACTGCCTTGCTCACCACAGTCACCTGGCATCTAGAGCCAGGGCTCAATATTTACTGACCAGCTGGCAGTAACCAGCTAAGCCAGCCTAAGTAACCTCTTTGCCTAGCAGCTTGATTCTCCTTCGAAGTTTTCTTTTTAGGGCTGGATGCAGTGGCTCATGCCTGCAACCCCAACTACTTAGGAAGTGGAATTGGGGGACTCGCAGCTCTTGGCTAGCCTGGGCCAAAAAAGTAAAGGACCCTATCTCAAAGGATGGCCCTCTGAGGCCAGTCTAAACAAAAGTATGAGACTCCATCTGAAAAATAACTGAAGCAAAAATGGGTGAAGACATGGCTCAGGAGGCAGAATGCTTACTTAGAAAGCTTGAGGCCCTGAGTTCAAACCCAAGTACACAAAAAACAAACTAGCAACAAAAACAACAAAAAACCTGCCTCCATTCCCAGCACTTGGGAGGCAGGATTTCAAGCTCAAGGCCAGCCTGGAGTACATAGCAAGACGCTACCTTAAAACAAATCCCTAAAAATTAAAAACTTAAACAAGACAAAAAAAAAACCTGCCTCCAAGTGTTGGTGACTGGTTTCTTCTGGAATTCTCAACCTCTCTCCTCTTAACCAAATCCTATCAGTTGTTTTGAGATTTGATTCAGATGCTGGTGCTAGCCACAAATCCCTCTCTGTGACTGGAATTGCCCAGAATTACTTAGGCCATAATTATTTGCTGAGAATAAACCAAAGGAAGAGGTAGAACTAGGGAGGGGGAGTAGGAGGGTCATTTTGGGAAGCACAGCATCTCTGCAGGGAAGAAAGTGGGGGTGAACTCTAGGTAGAGAGTCTGAGAAGGGCAAGGCAGGTGGGAAATAATGGCAGTTCTACCCTTGCAGTTCCTCAGGACACCTCAGACTCGAGTCACTCTTGACTCCCCTTGTTCCTCCAACTGCACACACCAGCAGCCTTGTCGGCTTGTCCTTCAAATCACATCCTGACTCTGACCACCTCTCTCCACCACCTCTGCTACCACTTGGCCCAGGTCCCACCATGGATCCACAGTATTTGAGTGGCCTCACAGCTGGGCTCTCTGACCTTGGCCCTGTGCGTAAGACATTCAACAGCAACCAAAAATGGTCAGTCCTCTCCTCACAACCCTGCAATGGCTTCCCGCCTTGCACAGAGTACAGAGGCTTCCATGTCCTCTGTCTTCTGCCCCCCGCCTTTCCTGCTCAGTCTCCTGGCTATTCCCTAGATATTCAGGGGATGCTCCACTTCAGTGCCTTTTTTCTAGCCATACCTTCTGCCTGGAATGTTCTTTTCCAAAATGTCCACAGCACTGGCCTCCTCATCACTGTTTTTCTTTGTTACCCTCTTCATAAGGCCTTCTTTCCCTGACCTCCCTGTTTACAGGGAGGACATACTGTGCCCCAGCCATCCAACACACTATGTGTTACTTATGCTATCATCTGAGCTCCCTCCCCACACACACTTAACTTCCAGGAGGGAAGGACTTCCTCTTACTGCCAGCGTCCCCCAGTGGCCAGAGCCCAGCAGAGTAGATGCTCAATCTGCATTTGACAAATAGATGTAAAAGGCTGAAAGAGGTGGAAAGGGGCCAGATCCAAAAGGGGTGGGGCCTGCTCTATGGCCCTGGGACAGAGGAGAGAAGGGGCCAAGTGACCCATGTGACCAGATATGGCTGAACTAGAGGAGGAGCCCCAGGTGTAACCAAGGTGGGGGGATGGAGAGCAGGAAACATGAGTGTCTAGTATCATCCATGTGGTCCTTTCCCAATGTGGATCAAGCAGAAAGAAAAGACACAGACTTGATGTACAAGAATGTTTATTGCAGCATTGTTTGAAGTAGTAAAAGACCAACAAACAAAAACCTGGAAACAACCTGAATTTCTGAAACTGGGAGACTTGCTGAATAAATAATGTCACCATTCTAATGACTAGTATATAGCTATAAAAAATAAGTTATATATAAACGGATTTTTCTGGAAAGATGGCCATGATAAATTGTTAAGTGAAAAGGGTGTTACTGGCTAATACAGTATGATCCAGTGTTTGAAAAAGAATCTATGTGTACATATAAAATATATGCACACGTATCTTTGAACATGTTTGTATGAGCATCAAAAAAGGAAAGAAAGAGATTACCATATAGAGAGGTGGCCTTAGAGGGGACAGAAACACCATTCCAAACCATTTGACTCATTGTAACAGGCAGCTATCACTTTTATTTTGGGGTTGAAAACAAAAAAACAAACTGGTCCTACCCGCCCTTCCATTCCCAGGAGGAAAACCTTTGCCCCTACAGTGCAATCCAACATCCAGCCAGAAGGGCTCTCCTTCCAAGCAACACCCCCCTGCTAACTACCTGCCCCCCATCCTGGCAGCCCGCTCCCACCTCCGGCCTGCCAGCATGTGCCAAGCCAACGGGGCCTATATCCGGGAGCAGTTCAAGCCTCAAGCCACCAGTAAGTAACAGGGCATCAGCTGGGGGGCTCTCTTCTGTCTTCTGGGGATGAGTGACTAGAAACAAGCAGTCCACAGGGCAAGTGAGAGGAATCTAATCAAATTCTCATGCCTTTATATCCTTTTGAGACCTGGCATGTTAGCTTGGGGGTGTTCAGGGTACAGGAAAAACCACTTAGGTGGACCTCTTTTTTTTATTTTTCCAGAACTCTCCTTCCTGATTCTCCCAATCCTGGACTCTTTCAATCCTGAAGGACATGTGGCATTCACAGCCACTGTTCTCTGACCCCCCTGGTCCCATGAGTCCAGCTCTTCTGACTCCAGACCACTTCCCAGACCCCCTCCTCCCCCTTCCTACCTGGCATCACTTCTGGCCCAGACCTCCTAACATCTCTCCAGTACCACCATGGAGACCGAGGCTCCTGAGTTTTCTTAGTCTTATTCTACATCAAAGCGATGTGCAGGTTTTGACAAAGCTTCTTTCAACCACTATCTAGATATGACAAGCTCAGGGGCATCCAGGAGAGAAGGTGCTAGGTGTGCAGAAGCCCTCTCCACATGACCCAGATGCCTGACAGAAACAAGTGAGGCACCCTTCATGCCTTAACGAGGCCACTTCTGGGCCCCTACAGGAGATCTGGAAAAGGAAAAACGGAGACTCCAAAATATCTTTGCCACTGGGAAGGATCCAGAGGAACAGAAAAGAAAAGCACCCCCTGTGCAACAGGAGGATCCAGCCCCTGAGCTGGATCGGTTTGAAGAATGTGAGCCAGTATGGGGGTGGGGGGGTGTGCAGAATTGGATGGGGCCAACAAGAAAGCCATATTCCTTGACACAGAACCACCACCCATCCTGAGCAGCAACGTACTACTCCACACCCATCACAGGAGTCTTGGGGGCCCCCAGTGCCCTGTGCACTGACGGCTCTTCTCCTATGTCCAGTGGTGAAGGAAATCCAGGAGAGGAAAGAATTCCTGGCTGCCATGGAGGCTCTGGGACAGGGCAAGCAATACCAAGGAATCATCCTCACTGAGATCTCCCAGGTAGGAGAAATGACCAGGGAAGTGGGGAAGGGGTGGACCCACTGTGAGGATGGAGTCAAAGATGGGAGAAGCCCAGGTCAACCACAGTGGTTGGGGGGAGGTGTCTCAGGAGTCATGCTGTAGCTCACATCATGGTGCTCTTGAAATTACCCAGGCTGGAGGTATGGCTCAAGCAGTAGAGTGCCCATCTAGCAAGCATGAAGCCCTGAGTTCAAACCCCAGTACAACAACAAAAAAAATCCTATCTGTGACACCAGCTTTCCTGATGCCTTTGCAGAAACTAAGGGAAATGGAAGATGTTGACCGCAAGAGAAGTGAGGAGCTTAGGAAGGCTCTTGCCACCACTTAATCAGAGACAGAGGCTGGACCACTGGAGCCTACCCCTCCACCAAGGAGGGTCACCCCCAGGTCACCCACACCGGCCTTGCCAAGTTGTAGTATGACACTTGTTCTACAGCAGCCTAGGCTGCCCTCAACACTGTCAAGTTATGCCAGGGCTACTGCTGGAACCTCAGCCACCCACAGTCAGACACAGACTTCTAGCCTTTTTTCTAGGGGAAAGAGCCCCAAACATTGTGAAGGTAAGGCCCAAGTCTCACCACCTTGGAATTGCATTAAAAGGCACCCAACTGTGACCATCCTACTACCTGGAGCCTCTGGATGTCCCCTCGTTTCCTTTCTGAACTTAGGAGTGAAGATGATTCCCTTTACCTACCTGCCTTAAGACCTACTTATTTAATTCTTATAGCCTTGATTAATTGACCAATAAAACACATTTAATTTGGGTCACTACACGCACCATCTTGTTTTCAGAGGGATAATGCCTATTTGTTCAGTTACACCTGTCAATTACACATGAGTTCTAGCCCGCCTATTTGCATATTTCAAGAGGAAATGGGAACTCAGGCTCTCAGCACCCCAGGTCAGCTGCCGTGCTAGGTGCTGCGCCTTCAGTACTGCCAAGGGCAGCTGAGGAGTCACAACAAAAGCAGCCCCGCCCCACCTGGTACAGAGTACAAAGTCCCCTTCCCTCAGGCTTCAACAGCCTTACTTTCTCCAGTATTCTTCATTTTCCTGTCCCCACAAATCACCAAAGTATTTTGATCTATTGACCAACACTGCCTGCTGGCTTTCTCCTGCACCAAGAGGGAGTCACATAGTCTTATCAGGTCAGATGACCAGTGTTTTGGTTTGTAGAATAAACAAAACAACCAACAGGTAAGGGCTGGCTCAGAACACCCCATGGAAAGTCTGTGTCATATTGTCCACAATATGACAGGGACACATCAAAAGCCCATCACATGGTCCAGCAAACTAGAGAACCCAGGACAAATTCAGCCCACTCTTGACAAATTCAGATTAGATGTCAATATTTACAAATTAAGCACATATGAAATCAGGATTCCATTCTGGAAAATGGAAGAGATCTGGCAACCCTGGGCCCACAGGATACAGTTAGACTTAAGTGTGGGACCTTGACATCCAGAAAGCATGCTGGAGCTGCTTCAGGTTACACCCAGCCTAGGTCGTGTATATTACCTGCCTAACCTGAAAAGGCCTTGGAGGTGATACCCCTAGTTCCAGATCAACATTCCCATTTGGAAAGGCTGCTGGGAGCTACCCAGGTGTGGGGAGCCACCCTTCCCTGCAGAGGAAGGGACTCCTGCTCAGTGGCAGGCAGTGAGGACCGGTCCCACTGGGTATACAGGTCCAACATTGCCCCAGGCTCTCCTGGGCAACCAGATGTGTAGCCATGAAATGTGGCAGAGGCAGGTAAAATGACAGACGTGACCAGGGCCTGAGGCTACAGGGCACTACCAACTGAGGTTGTCTCCAGTTATCGTTGTGGAAGAACATTCTGGAGTCAATACAGGGCCAATACAGGAAAGGGCCTTTGAGGCCCAGGGCTTAGAGAACAGTGCTCTGACCGACAGCTGCCAAGCACACTCCCTGGGCAAAAGTGGTGTCCCCATTACCCCCCTTTCCACAGCCACCCAGAGAGTACATGGGCATCAACCCTTGGGTGGGGATGAGCTGGGAAGAGAACAGACAATGGAGGAGACAGACTGATGGATGACCAGGTTGGGCATAGGCCCCATCCCCTGGGTGTTAGAGAACCAGGGTTAGCACCTACTTTCCTAAAGTGCACACTCCCTAAGCTGTTGATCGGGACCAGAACTTCGACTAGGGTTGCCCTCCACAGAGCCATTCCCAGAGACTCAGCACTGAGACAACTACAAGGGGCACCCACCTGTCCTGGCACAACCATCAAGGCCCTGTGTGGTGGGTGAGGCTTCCCGTGGAATAGGGGAGATGAGAGAAGAACCTCCTAGAACTGAGGAAGAGGAGGCAGGATTTGCTCCTTAGGCCTGTTCTCATCTGACATAGCACAGACCCAACTAATTGGACCTTGAGACTTCTTCACAGAGCTCCTAGCAAGGAGACAAGAGTCAGGAGCACCTGCACTGAACAGGAAGACAGAGACTCAGGGCCAGGGCTGGGCAGGAAAAAGCCACATGGGGCAGAAGCCAGGAGGTAGAAGCCCCAGGCAAGGTCTACCATGAGCAGAACTCTGATGGTGAAGCTCCTATTCTGCCTAGTTCAAAAGAGAGGAGGGGCTGAGGAGCTGCCCCACAAGGGTACATATGTTCGTCCACTGTCCCTCCCAGAACCCTGGGTCCTTGCTTGCCCCTGGATCTCTCACAGCATCTGGAGTCTTCAGAATCCCACTGGGTAAGGCTGAGTCAAGCTGTCTGGGATACAGAGAAGAGGGAAGAAAACTTTGGTCCAGACCAGCCAGAGTATCCTAACGAGGGAGAGGCTCACCCAGAGACGCCCTCCCAAGGGCATCTTCCCCTTGAAGAATTCAAGGGCAGCAGGGGCTCCCCTAGCTATGAGGATCGGGAGGGGCAGTGTTGCACCTTCCCTCGCTGTCAGCTCTTGTCCCTAGGAGGTTTGCTCTTGGTGTCACGCTTGTTTCCCAGCAGCTTCAGCATCTTCATGGTTTTGAACTTCCCCTTCTTCCTGCCCTCGGGTTCAGCCTCCTTCTGGAACTCTGAAGGAGAGAAAGGGGAACACTTAACCAGGAACGGAGGGCAGTCCATAAGGTAGGTCACTGACCATGTGTGTGGCTAGCGGGGGCTCAGCACAGCCAACCTCCCATGTGAAACTCTAGCAAATCAATTCACCATATCAAGACTCCCTTTTCTCCCCTAAAGGTGGAGACCGTCCTCTCCCGGTGTTTTGGAAAGGACGAGGAGACCCACATCTGCAAGAACAATCTGGGATGCTGACGTGTGGCTCACTCACCCTTTAAATGCTTGCTTCCCCCATACAGGGCTTCAACACAAACCCTGCCTGATGAGCAAGAGGGCAGCTCAGAAACCACCTATCTGAGCCTCTAACCCACACGGGAAATGCAGGCCTTTAAAACTGATACCACCTGAGCTCCTCATAGGTACCAGGCCCTGGGCCAAATACTTTATACATGTCATCTCTGTAATCTTTAGCCCATGCTGGCGAGGGATGGCATCAACCCCCCCCAATTCTGCAGACATGGGAGTGATCCAGAAGCTCAGAGCTGGCACTGGAAACCAGTTCTGACTTCAGCCTGAGTTGAGACTTACCCACAAGGCCACAAGGTGAGTCACTGGTGGAAGCAAGGTCAAACTCAAAGTCCTGACTTACAATTAGGCACTATCTGATCCCAAGCAGGCAGGCTCTGCTATTTGGCCAACAGACCCCACCCAAGCCAGCCTGATCAGGGAGGAAAAGCCCCACTCAGGGAAAATCCACCTTGGAAATATTGCCCCCTATACAGTCTTCCTGTAGGCAGCAGAGTATCCCTAGGCATCCTCTGAGCCTGGGTCACAGCCTTCCTGACTGTGGGCTAACCTCTTTGGGCTCACAGGTTTTCCCAGCAAAACAACCTGGGAGTTTGCACACAACTAGCAATGTAGCACTTGTTCCAACTCTCCATTTCCCAGGCTGAAAACATGGAACAGTTCAAGTGGACCAGATCACACCCAGGCCCTGGCCACCTCTCCAGGATGGGCCTCACCTTTCTTCTTGATCATGGCTTCCAACATCTTGTCTTCCTCTTCCTCCCTGAAACAAGCAAGGGAAGCTGAGTGCCCACACGAGGGACCAGGTCATCTGCAAGTCCCTTCCAGCCTCCAGACTCCACAGGGCTGAGCAAGAGTGCACTGGGATCACTGGCAGTGAGGACTGAGCTGGCCTGGGGTATGGGACCAGGCTGTGCCAGGGAGCTGCCCCACCCATGGGGCCCCAGTCATGTCACCTCTGCCGGTCCTCATCCAGGCAGTTGACAATGGCATTGCGCTGCTCGATGAGGGTCACCAGCTCCTGCATCAGCACCTTCTCCCGGCCCCGGTCCTCCTCTGTCCAGTCCTTTTCTGCCAGGTGAGAAATTTGGGGCATGAGTGGTAGGAAAACCCTCTTCATCCCCTGGATGGCAACTAAATCATAGCAGGCCAGCCCAATGTTAGATACTGTGTGATGGAAGGAGGGGCCCACAAAGGTGGGGCCCACAAGTTCATCAGGCTGCCTTCCAAAAACACCCTTTAAGTGGCCCAGCAGGACAAACACAACACGTACTGTAAAACAGAGCAGGGATGATGTAGTGGTTCAAGTGGTAAAGTGCCTGCCTAGCAAGCATAAGGCCCTGAGTTCAACTCCCAGCACCACCAAACAAAAAGAAAAGAAGAACCAGCACTTCTTAAAGTGTGGCCTGCCTCCACTTCCATGCTAGTAATGGACGTGTATGATATGGATTCTTGTGGGAGGCAGGATTGGGGTAGATCAGGGGCAGGGAGCTAACAGGTGCTCCTAGCAGTGTGACCTAAGTGATACCTTGGGACATTCAAGGGGATGGTGGGGGCAGGGCTCAGCCAGGAGGTTTTCCTGATGGTGTGCACACCTGCTTCCCCTTCAGCCTCTCCCCTCAAGGCTGAGAGCTAGCCAAAGAACCACCCTCCGGGGCCACCTGTGCCTTGGTTCCCCACTTTCCCAGTCTATAGGGGAAGGTGTCCCCACTTGGCACTCCCTCTCCAACATTTGCCGCACACCATAAAATAAACATCCTGAGGTCATTTATAAACAGCCTGAGCCATTATCCCATTCCCTAACCGCCTCACCTTGCCAAAACTCAGGAGCAGGTGGCTAGTTCTGTCCTTTACTTCTGGGGACAGAGAGTCACTACACAAAATCAAATCCTGCTCTGCCACCTCCCAAAGGTGGAACCTTGATGAGTTATGTCCCTAGTCTATTTGTGGGAAAACTGAGGTTCAAAAAAGTTAAGCCCTTAACCAGCATCACACAGTGAAGATGGGGCCAGTATTTGAACCAAGGCAGCCTGGCACCCCAAGTGATAGCTGTTATGGGGTCTTATGGGTCTCCAACTCCCCATCCCCTGAGACCTTGCAGACTAGTCTTATCCCGCAAGATCAACATCAGGGACAGCTTGACAAGCCCACAGTGTGCTGACCCCACATAGGGTCAGCTGGCTGGGAAAGCAAACGTCCTGTTCCCACTCTGACCACGCCCCAGTCTCCTGGTGAACTGGGAATGACTCACAGCTGACAGTGGAGGCCTGGGACATTCTGGGCCTTCCTCAGGTCCACTCCTCAGGACCACTCCAGACTCTCAAGGTCCCTTATCAATGGAGGACCCGGTCAGAGACAGGAGGGCTGAGTGCAGGGCAGAGGCATAGCTAAAAGGCCAGCACCAACACCAGTGCGCAGGCCTCCAGGTGCCCTCCACTTCCTCAACTGTGAAACAGCAACCCTCTGCCCAGGGCTGGCACCATGCTGGGTCACAGGAAAGAGGTCAAAAGCCCTGGCTCTGGCTCTGACCTTCATGGCCCTATAGCACCATGGCCCCAAGGCAGGTGAGAAACCCTTCCTCCCCAGACTGCAGCTCAGCTGTCAGGCCCACAGAGGTGTGGCGTGTTTCCACACACAAGGCAGGTCACCTCATTCCCATCTTGCACACAAAGTCACAGCCAGCAAGGCAAAGAAACCTACCCAAGGTCACACAGCCAACTTAATGGACTGTCTGACCCCATGCCCAAAATAAGCCATGCTGCTCCCGGGCCTGGTGCTTACCAAGGGCCTGTCACCCTTGATACCACCAATGCCCAAACCCTGTGCATGAGGTGTTCTCTCATCTGTGGCCCTATCTACTTACCACCTGTTATAATGGCTCCCATCCTAAGACAACCCAAATAGCCCCTCCCACCCCTCCTCCTCCGACTCTGTAACCAGCTTGCCTATGCATGCAACCAGGGCTCTGTCCACCCATTTCCCAGGACCAAGGGGAAGACCCAGGCCCACTCCTCCCAGTCCCCAGGCAGCCATGCTCACCTGGCTTGTTGAGAAGGCACCGGAGCTCGTACTCCACATCAGCCTGGCGCTGCTCCAGGTTTTGCTGCTTGAAGCTAGAGAGTGGGAAGAAGTCACCCATGAAAACTTCTGTCCGTGCCTGCCTCGCCTGCCTTGTGCTGTCAGCGAGGAGGGCAGTGGGCAAGGGTGGTTTCCAGCTCCACAGATCCCAGGGAGAGGTGGGCAGGACTCACACGTAGATAAGCTCCGACTCACGGCGCACTAGCAGGTGCTTCTCATGGATCAACTTGAACCAGTCCACCAGCATGTCGTCCTCACGGCCCTCTGAAAGCCACAAACCCACTGAAGCCAGGACTGGCAACGCTTCTCAGCTCACATCCCTCCGGGGGGAGTCCCTCAGCCCCCTTCTCCCAGCAGTTCACACACCGTTTGCTCCGCCACGGAGCGTCTCCTCCAGCAGAACCCCGCGATGCTCCAGGGCATCGAGCTGGCGCTCGATGGTGTCCATCTCTCCACAGATGTCCTCCTCAGGGATGTACTGGTCAGCCTGGACCTGCCCAACAGTGCCCTGGTCACCTGAAGGACAATGGATCCTCCCACCACCTACTCTCCTCCAGCTCAGGTTGTGCAGGGAAACTTGTCCCTTTTTCTGACTGGCACTGGCCTCTGTAGACTCCAGAGACCCGGGTACTACCTACTCCACATGCCAATATAGCAAGAAAACAGTGTGGGTGTGGGGATGGGGTCCATGTGGAGACCACCACGACCCCTGCATGCCATGGTTCCCCGCAACGATAGACACCCCCAGGAAGGGTGTCACAGCAGGAGCGAGGGACCAATTACAGAAATAATGCCAGGAGCACTTCTTCAGTTTAAGTAGCAACCTCTCAGGAGGCCTTGACAGTTGAATGACTGTTAGTAACAAATTAAATGCCCCACCCACTGCTCCTGGCTGCACAGGGCTGACCAGCTCCAAGTCCCCTGGCTGCAAGTTCAGCCTTCCAGCTGGGCCACCCAAAAGCCCCCACTTGAAGCAGGAACCCAGATGCCCAGTCTAAGGCTGCTAAGGGAATGGTGCTGGGCACAGAACAGCCAGGTCTGTAGAACCCCCTGGCACCTTGCGTTTGATGAGTGGAAAGCCGTGCCCAGGGGCAGGTGGCCTCACTGGCTTGGCTCCTTTGGTGGTCTTCTTTACAGTTGGAGACGCTGCAGGTGATGGCTTGCGGTTGAAAGGATTCTCCTTGCAGGAAGACTAAAGGCAGGGACAATGACAGGTTAAGTCTGGGAAGGCAGCAGCCTGATGACCTGGGAATATGGAAAGCAGGCCAGGACCCCAGCGGCAAGAGAGTTCACTATAGAGGAGAAGGGCCGAGGCAAGGGGTCTTCCCCCCCAATTTCATCCCTGACACATTTAGTCATTCAACAAACACTTCCATTTCCAGAGCACCTCCCACACTCCAATTGCTTCACTGGCTGCTTTACATGCTCTCCACAACCAGGGCTGGGGTTTCCTGAGTGGTCAAGTGCTAGCCCAGTATGCTTGAGGCTCTGTGTTCTGTCCTCAACAACACGTACAAAAACAAGTTAAATCTCACAACTACTCTGCAAAGCAGTTATCATAATGTCCATTTCATAGCTGGCAAACAAGCTCAAGTATTTTGCCCAGGTCCTCCATTTCTGAAGGGCCAAGGCTGGGGTGAGAACTGCTTCAGGCCTGGCAGCATCAGCACTGAGGGGCAGAGGCAGATGGTGAGATCAAGAGCAATGCATGACTACAGGACTTTATTCAGGCCCCATGGCCACCCTATCCCCAGTAAGGGCTCTAAGGCTCAGAGAGGCAAAGCTGCCCATCCAGGGTCACCCAGCCAGGAAGTGCAAAAGAAGAATCCCACTCTCCCCTCAGCAGGCAGATGGAGGGAGGCAGCTCCTCCCCTGTCTGGGACAGACCCTCACCCTCACCCTCTCCAGTCCAGCCCACCATGGACACACCCACAGCCCAGACTCTCTGTCCTTCTGTCCCTCTGGAGAGACCCACACCTGAGGCCAACATAGCCAGGCACAGAGGGCCCTGTGTGTCACATGGGCAGTGTCAATGCTTTCCCACCCCTCTCTCCAGCTGATCAGAGACTGGTATTACACCTGAGGCTCCAAGTGCCCTAGGAATTTCACCCCTGCTGCGGGGAGGGAGGGCCTTGCTCCCATCTGCGCCAGCACAGTGGGAGATCCTGTTGGGCTGTTAGCTGATCTGGAGTTCTGAAGCCCCGGCTGGAATGGAGCGGAGCAGAGCACAGCACAGGAGGGAGGCAGCTCTCACCTCATGGGCCTGGGACAGGGTCAGGGTGGTCATCCAGGAACCCAGGCCCCCACTGCCTGTGAGATTCTCTGGAGTGAGGTGGGATGGGTCCCCGCAGAAGGAAACTAGGTTCTGCCCCCTAGCTCTATAAACACACACAAAAGGACCCAATAGAACCAAACAGCCCAGAAGTTTGTGAGCCCCTCCAGGGTGTTCACCTTTTCCAGCCACAGGACACCCTCGAACCCGTCTTCTACACACCCCAGAGAGGAAGCAGGTATTTAAAAGGGAGCTGTGGCCAGGCACTGGTGGCTCATGTCCATAATCCTAGCTACTCAGGAGGCAAAGATCAGGAGAATCACAGTTCGAAGCCAGACTGAGACAAATAGTTCATGAGACCCTACCTTGAAAAAAACTATTAAAAAAAAAAAAAGGCTGGTGGAGTGGCTCAAGGTGTAGGCCCTGAGTTCAAACCTAGTACTGTAAAATAAATAAGAAAAAAAAAAAAAAAAAAGGATAAAAGGGAGCTGGGGGGAGGGGGGCAGCAATCCTAAGCTAATCCACCCCATCTTTTCCTTTTTTTTTGGGGGGGTGTAGTACTGGGGTTTTGTAAATCAGGGCCTTGTGCTTGCTAGGCAGGGGCTCTGCTACTTGAGTCACACCCCCAGCCCATTTTGCTTAAGCTATTTTTTCAGATACAGGCTCAAGTATTTTGCCTGAGACTGCCCATAGGAGATATCCCTCCTATTCACCTCCCTCAGAGCTAGGATCACAGACACACACCCATGCACCACCATGCCTGCCTTATTTGTTCAGATGGGGTCTTGCTAACTTTTTGCCTGGGCTGGCCTAGAACCAAGATCCTTCCAATCTCTGTCTCCTGAGTAGCTTAGATTATAAGCGGGTACATCTAGCCCATCCTACCTTCTTAGTCACACAGCAGATGGCAGAACTATAGGTAGTGCACAAGGTGCTATGGCCCAAGATAGGGACGATCAAATGATGTTTTAAAGGCACACAGGGAGGGTTGTCCTGCATAAGCTATCCTGACACCCTCTACTGGTGCTGGACAAGCCTTGGCACTGGGAGGACTGCAGAGTGGGCGCTGTAGCCACAAGAGAAGAAAACTGGGTGCTCAGAGAAACATCCTGACCCCAGGTAACCCCAAGTTCTTGGCATGCAGTTGAGAAACAAATGAGCCCAAGACCACAAAACATCTGAAAACTGGCTGCCTGGGCAGGGGACCCAGCCAGACCCTCCTGTCCACTTCACCTCTGAGAGAAAACAGAGCCCAGCAAGGACCTGGGAGGGGGCCTGACGGGGATCTGAGGGATGGGGCTGTGCCGACCCTCCTCACAACAGAGGCCCTCTGTAAGGCATGTGTCCTCAGTCCGTCTGCCTGTTGGGGGCTGACTCTGTCCCTGCAAACTCCAGTATGGCAGCACATGGAATCATTTCAGCACTTCCCTGGCCTGGCTGTGAGTACCTCAAGGACAGGACCACCTTGCCCACCTGACCTCTGGAGCCCAGGTACCTCCACAAACACACATCGTATGTGTTCACTGAAGGCCTCTTTCCACAGCAAGAGATAGGTCTCTGCTGAAGGGAATCATCCCCTTCCCCTCCACTCTACTAAAGATTACCTTCTAGTACAATCATATGCCTGTCTTCCTGAGCAGACTGTGAACCCCTGGAGAGCGAAGACAGAGTCTTTTTTTTTGAAGGTACTGGGGTTTGAACTCAGGGCCTCGTGCTTGTTAGGCAGGTGTTCTACCACTTGAGCCACTTCAGCAGCCCTTTTTTTGGTTGGATTTTTTTCGAGATAGGGTCTCGTGAACTATTTGCCCAGGCTGGCTTTCAACCACAATCCTCCTGATCTCTGCCTCCTGAGTGGCTAGGATTACAGGCGTGAGCCACTGGTGCCCAGCAAGACAGGTCTTAATTCAACTGTGCCCAGGGCCTGGCATCAATGAGTCAGAGTGAATAGAAGGGTGGTAGGGTGAATGGATCCCAAATGGGTCAGTAAATGGGTGCCTAGATGCATAGTGCATGGACAGCCAAGTGGTTGGACAGATGAGCATATGGGTAGAAGTCTGTCAGATGGATGGAAGGATAGACCAATAGACTGTGCCTTTATTGCACAGGATGCTGAATGGCCATTTGAAGCCAGAGGCCAGCAGACAGAAGGCCCTGAACACTCTTGCCCCAAACCAAACCCACATTCATTCTAGAGGACATAGCTTTTTGCAAGGGTGAGGACACTTACCTTGACCTGGAGCTGTGGGGACGAGCTACCGGGGGAAGGCACAGGGCTTCTATCTCCAGCCAACAAGAGAGGGGTGGGAGTGGCACCAATGCAGGGCTTGGCTGGCTGGGAGCCTGGGCTGCCCCTAGTCCTGGCCTGCAGCACCGGCTCCCTGCCAGTCTGTGCCAGTTCCCCAGAGGAGGATAAGGAGGAGTCAGCCGAGTTCCCAGGGGTGCTGGGGACACCTGGCGCATGTACAGCAGGCTCGGAGGAGCTCTTGGGCACTGCAGGTGGCTCTAGAAGCTCCCCGCTGGCAGCCTGGCTGGAGGTCTCAGAAGACAGGCTCTCCACGCTGAGGGCTGGTGATGGTGTGGCTGAGGGGGGCTCCGAGTGTGAGAGGCGGGAGGCATGGAGAGCTGTGCAAACAAGCAAGCAGGCAGCACACAGGGGCGGTCAGGGCTTGAGGCCTCACCCAACCCACCCTGCTCCCCAGAGCTACAGACGGCCCTGGAAACCAAGCCAGAGGGCCCAGAGAACAGCAAAGACATGGTGGGTCTCAAGTCATAAATTGTGTCCAACCATCAGAACCTGTCCCATGACCTCATGGCACATCTGTGGCCCTCACCCATCATTCCGTGGGGCCGCAGCCTCCACTTCCCCACCTACCCCACAGCCCTCCTATGTCCAAATCCACTCAAAGACAAGTGCCAGGGCAGGAAGGTGATACTGGTGCAGGTGAAGGCCAGAAAAATGAGGCTGACCTCCCTGCTTCCACCCGACAGCACAGTGGCAAAAAGAGGGAGCATAGAAGAGGGAGGGCAGCAGTGTTGGCTGCAGCCAGCTCTGGGCCAGGCACTGGCAGCACTGCTTCATCCTCCTGCAGTAGATATGGGTCACACCTCCAAGTCTGTCAACCACAATTACCAGATGAGGCCACAGACTTAGAGAAGAAAGGGCACTCACTCCAGCCAAGGCTGGCCTAACCTGGCTGTGTCTAACTCCAGAGTTCACAGCCCACTGCTGCCCAGAATCTACCCACTATATGCTCCTGAACAGTCCACACACCGGGAAGGACCCCCAAGCTCAGACCACCTGAGCATCTGCCCAAGATTGTCTCTAGTACACACTTGGTCCTACTGAGCTCTGAGAGGCAGCTGGAGTCCAGATGTGGTGGAAGGTGACCAAAGGCATAGAAAGACTGGGAGAAGGGAAGAGTCAAAGCATGCAGTGTGTCTGGACTCCAGGAACATGCTGGGCAGGGAGAGCCACAGCAACTGGAGCTACCCTCCTGTTTAAGACAGACTCAGGAAGTCTACTGAGTCCACTAAGCCAGGTCTAGTTGCCAGGGCTTGGCAACTAGAGTGACAGTGACAAGAGGCAGGGTTTAGCTAACCCCTATCCTGTGCCTTTCAGGAGCCCCCACTTTCCTGGATCCCATGGTGAATTATAGGAAGAGTTAACAGTACATGGTTCAAATCCTGACTTCACTGCTTCAGCACTCTGAGGCCTCAGCCTGTAATCCTAGCCACTCAGGCCTCCTATGCCACTCAGCCTCAGGCAAACAGTTGTCCAGACCCTATCTCAAAAAGATCCATCACAAATGGAGTGGTTCAAGCGATGAAAGTGCCTGCCTAGCAAGCGTGAGGCTTAGTTCAAACCCCAGTACCACCAAAAAAAAAAAAAAAAAAAGAAATTCGCAAATTCCTTTTCCTATCTGTCCCTCACATGCAAAGTGACACCTACTCCCACACCTGCTCCAGCAATGACATGGGAGGAGACTGAACAACACACAGCATGTGGCCTAGAGAGGCTCCCTGCACACCAGTCCCAGGCCCACCAACCTGAGGGTCAGGACAGCTCCATGGCAGGCACTCACCGAGTGGGGATGCACTGGGTGCTCTCGGGGCAGGGCGCTTCTTTGTCTTAGGGCTGCTGGTGGGAGTGATGCCGTACCAGGGGTGCAGGGACTTAGGGGTGGACTCCAAAGGGGCCGGGGTAGGGCTGGAGGTTGAACTAGGCACCGCTGACTCCTCTGACTCCTCTCCCTCCTCTTCAAATGGATTGTAGGGTTTGGGCTCCAGGCTGGACGCAGGGCTCTGTTGGGCCCCCTCCTCCACACCTCCATTCTCCACCTGCCTGCCGGCCCGGCTTGGTTGTCCAGGGCTGCTGCTGGGGGGCAGTGGGGCTGGCTTCTTCTTTGGCTCTGCCTGCACCAGTGTGATCCATGGGGGGTCCTTTCTCAGGGCTGGCATCCTAGAAGAAGTCCAAAGAAGGGATCAGCCTCCTGCTCTTGGAACACTTCTGAGTCTGCTTCAAAGGGGAGAGGATGGAAAGCTGTTCCTTCTCCTACCCCCAGCCCAAGGGGCCAGTCTGGGCCCAAGGCTGAAATGAACCACAAGAGTCACATCCCAACTGGGTGCCTTGAAGCCCAGAGAGGGCAAACCATGAAGTCACAAAGCCCAAGGAAAGGGGCTCTGTGTGATACTTACACAAAGTCACCTGGTCTCTCTAGGTGTCAGTCTCCTCATTTGCTAAATGGGAAAATAATACTCCCGACCTCACAGGGCTGTATAAGAATCCAGTGAGTTCCATGCCCAGCTCTGGGCACTCTGGCCAGCATCTCTACAAATGTTAACTACTAGTACAGCTAAGTTACCTCTGTCCCTCACAGAGTGGCCATTGGAAGCACAGCCATCCAACAAGACCTGGAAATACAGGACCTTTCTGAGGATGGGAGATCTGGGAGACCTGAGAGCCAGGCACTAAAGCTTTTCCAGGCCTTTCTACACTCTGTGAACAAGGGCTGATTCCCCCATGTCATGGAGGAAGAGCAGGCCTAGAGAGGTGAAGAGACTCCATAAGTGGCTGTCCTGACCTGGGGAACAGGTCAGACAGTGGCAGCAGGCATCCCTGGGGGTGTCACAGGGGAAGGGACCATAAGCATAGCTCTGTCCCTACTCAGCGATAAGCCTCCTGCCCAGCCTCAGGGATCTCTATCCCCACTCAGGTCCCAGGGACCCCCATTCTAACACCAAGGCCTCCAAAGCAGGGCCAACATACCTCTCTGACAGCTTGGGTGTCCCTCTTGGCTTGGGGACAGGGGGGTCCTGCAGTTTTCCTAGAAGGGAAAGGAGAGTGAGCCAGGCTTTCATGGGCAGCAGAGAAGGGCACCAGGAATCAATCAGAGCACCTGCCTGGCCAAGGAGTGCCCTGCCTTCCCACTTGGCAGGTGGCCATAACACCTCCGCCGCCCAGACCATAGGGAGATTAGATAAGCACCAAAGGTGACCGCCAAAGGTAACAGGGAGAAGGAGGCCAAGGACAGATCTCCCGAAACTCCATTTGCATTTCACCTGAATAAAGGGAGCCCAGGTCCACTCAGATACTTCCCCCACGTGGGCAGGAAACATCTCAGCTCAGCCCAGGTGCTGCCAACTCTTAGAAGCCTTCCCTAACCCCCCAGTGTCCTCGTCCCAGAGGACTCTGCTTCCTTTCTTCCTTCCTTCCACCTCAACACGATTTCCAACTCCATGGAAACACCCATGTCTGCCTGTGTCTCCTCCATACTGGCACTGCCATGAAGGCACAAAGTAGTCTGAATATTATCTGTGTCCCCAGTGCTCAGTCCTGAGTCAGCACCCAAGAGTGTAGAACAGAACTGAACAAGCAGAATGTTCTGGTGGAAATCCCAGAGAGGCCCTCAGAGTCTTGCTGCCCCAGGCCTCCAATACCATTTTAAGTTACAAGGAGCCTGTTCCCATGAGCTCATGGAAACCCAGGGAGGTCTTCTAGAAATGACCTGCAGTGAGGGGGTGACGGAATGACCCAGACATCGGGGCGGAGGTCTCTACTCCACTTCAGACAAGCTCAGGGGCCTACCTGACCTCTCTAGCCCTCCCAGTCCCTAACCTCTCCTTGACCAGACACAGACAAGCACACAGGCATGGGAAGTCACCTTGGAGACTCGCCTGGGGACTCACCAGGACACGCTAGTGACAACGACATACAAAGTCCCTGAAACACTCAGAACACACATACACACATATGTACACTCAATACACAACATAAAACACAAGGCGAACACAAAAGAACACCAAAACCCCAAAACACACAGAAGGGACGGGACCTGTGGTATGAGCTGTAACCAGTCTTAAGAACACAGCTTGGGATAGAGAGGCCCACAGTGAACACTCAGGAATCACGAACTCAGGCACACGTGACCAGCACACTCAAAGCACACGTAGGCACAAACATTCCCAGATGCACGAGCATTTAAACACCCAGGAACACTAATGCACTCTCCCCCACACCCCTCCCAGTCACACTCTCACTAACCGTTCACCAGGCTGCTGCCACCACCCTGCTCCGCCAAGCTGTCCTGCTGCAGGCTAGACCGGGGCCGTGGCATGGGGGGTGTTGAGGCTGTGCTCTCAGAGGCCTTCCTGGGGGCAGGCGTGGGCCGGCTGGTGGGGGGACTGGGCAGCTCCTGGGGCTTGCTGGGAATCCGGGGCTTGATAGGGATCTGCGGCCGGGTCTCAGGGCTTGTCTTGAGTTCATCTCCATCAACCCCTGCAGCCGCACTCAAGCTGGGGCCACCTCCATCACCATCCTTGGCTTCTGTGACTTGCTGCTGCTTTGGATGTGAGAGGGACCCAGGCCTGGATCCAGCCCGGCCCCCTGGGCCCAACCTGGTGCAGCGTTCTGCACACACAAAGGTGCCTTCCTCAGGACCAACTTTATAAGCCCCAGGGAGCAGTGTGCTGGAGCACTGCCGACACCTGCAGGGGACAGGATGGGGATTCCCTTAGCAAGTGTCTCAACCTGACACTGGTTATCCCTCCACAGAGACCAAGGCTGTTCTCTCCCTCCTCTCCTCTCAACTGCCACCCAGATGCTGCCTGGCTCAATAGCGGGAACTTCCCAGAGGAAAAAGTAACTGTCAGAAACTGGAACAATGAAACCACCTGCAATCAGCACCAGCAATTGTGAAACACACCTTCAGTTTGTGCTGCAAGAGGAAGAGGCAAAGGTTTGCCCCAGAAGTACGTCCAACGGGAGGACTGCCATCAGCTAGGGGCTCAGGAAATCAGTGTGGTGGTTTCCAGTCAACCAGGTTATTTCATTCATTCATTCATTCATTCAATTCATTTATTTACTGTGCTGGGGATCAAAGCAAGGGACTCACAAATGTTATACATGTGCTCTACCGCTGAGCTACAGCCCCAATCCAGGTTTGTTTGGTGTGTGAATGTTTGTTTTTGCAGTGCAAGGGAACAGAACCCAGGGAGGGCCACTAAGCCACACCCCTAGCCCCAGTTGTGTTTGGCTTTGGTTTTTTTTTTTTTTTTTTTTGGCAGTATCAGGGTTGGAACTCAAGGCCTCACACTTGCTAGACAGGCGTTCTACCACTTGAGCCACTTGGCAAGCTTGTTTGTTTTTAATGAAACAATAAAATGCAATGCTCGTGAAACTCTTGTTTCAGTTGTGCATCTATTGATAACGTTTCATTTCAGGTGTTTACATCTAGTCAGTGTCAAATGCAATTTTTACTGAGAGTCACTGTAAAACGTTTCTAAAACACTGCCCAGGGGACCAAGTGTGACCGCTATCAGTTTAACTTGCTTCCCATGACATCTCAACTCTGCACTTGGTACTACAGGTCCATTTGCTACAGGTCCCCACACGCACATACACTAAACCAGGTAAAGTGTGGGCTGGAACTCAGTCCTTGGTATCCCTGGATTGCTTACATTCAATTTCCTTTCCTGATTTTTTTTGTAACATATAAAATGTTTTGGGGCTGGGTGTGATAGTGATAAGGTGCCTGCCCAGCATGTGCAAGCTCTGAGTTCTATCTACCCCCATACCACCACAAAAAAGAAAACACTCAAAATAAAAAAAACTTTTTCCCAAGTCTTAGTTTGTCTCTCAGCAAAATGGGGATAAGCCAGGTGCTCTGGCAACAGGAGCCCAGCCAGGTGCCTGGCTCACCATGGGTGCTGAGCTCAGGGACCTCCTTCCCCAGGACTGGGGTGACGGGGACATGCCAGGTCCTGCAGCACTCACCGGAAGCAGTGCCGGTGGTAGAGCCTGCCCTCGGCCAGGTACCGCTGCACCAGGTGCACACGTTGTCCACAGGCCGCACACACGCTGCTGGGAGGCTGGTGGGGTCCCTGCTCTGCCAGGCCACCTGAGGACAGCTCCTCACCCTGTACGGAAGTGGGAGCAGTCACCAACCATGCTGCACGAGAATACCCCCTCCCCATCCTCCCTGTCATGGCCACTGTCCCTCAAGTGTGCACAGGGCTTCATGGTGATAAAAAAAAAAAAAAACAAGGATCAGAGCCCTAGGAGAGGCAGTGGATGAGAAATTGTCAGCCTCTCCCAGATGAGAAAAACAAAGAGTTCAGACTTGCTCTAAGTTACTAAGCCAGAGTGCCTCAAAAATCCAGACTTCAGTTTTTGAGGGTCCCTGCCTCCAGGAAAGGTAGTTCCAGCTGTACAGTCCTTCTAGGTGGCTGCTGTGGCCTCTCCTCAGGACTTCCTTACAGAGTGGCCTCCCTGTCACTGCAGGGTTATTTCCTTGTGGGCCTGCTTCATCTGCCCCTTCTGTCTGCTCTTACAGAGCTGCAGTTAAATCCCAGTGTCCTGCTGCCCAGCACTGTGACCTGAAGCACATCTCTGGGCCTTGGGTTGCCACCTGCAAAATGGCCCACACGGCCTCCCCTGGCATCCACCTTGAGCCTGGCTCTCTCTGGAGCTTGTGACTGGTAGGGTGGCCCTCACTTCCCTGCTCAATGACCTTGGACAAATGACCAAACCTCACTGAGCCTGAGTTTCTTCACCTGCACACCAGGCCCATGACCCTGACCTCCAGCGTTGTGGAGGACTGAATGGAATCACACTGAGCTGTCCGAAGCTCTGACTCAACAGGAGTCAGGGAATATTCACTTTATGTGTGTGACTCCTGACAGTCCCGTGATGGTCAATCATTGTGAGGCCTGCCTTCTCTCCTCCTCCCAGGTCTGGAATCTTCAGACCCCACCAGAGCACCGTGAGACTGTCTACCCACAGAATGTGACTGGCTACCTGCCCCATGTCCTCCTTCCCTGACCTGAGGGCCCCAGTAAAGCTAATGGGGCAAGGGCAGAAAATACCTCTGCACACTGTGACGGTCAACTTCCTCTTGTAACAATCACTGAAATGACAGTTGTCCCCCCTCCAACCCACCCTCTCCACTCCAGGCATCTGCCTACCTGAGCCTCGTTTTCTGGTTCCACAGTGGTAGGTGCTGTAGATGGAGGGGAGGAAGGCGCCAGGTCCTTTCTGGGTGGTGTGACATCAGCTGCCAGGAGACAAGAAAGACCCTAAGGCAGGCAGAGATGCTGGAGCCCAGGAGGCCCCAACCTGCCTGAAGACTTGTGCTCTACAGCAGTCACCTCTTGACAGAACACCTGATGCAGTGGGACAAGAGCTCCCCTTTCACATGGACCAGAGGACACCTTCACTTTCAAGCCTGTGCTGAGGGCAAGCCACTAAACCCTGCTGGGCTTCCCTAAAATGGGAGTAATCCTTCTGCAGTGTAACAGGACGGCCACAGAATCCCAGAATGTAGCAGGATGGGCAGCTTCCTTCTATCAGGTAAGAGGATTGAAGGGAAGGAAAAGAGAAAAGCATGATGCTGGCGTGAAGCTCCGGAAAGTGGCTTGCTCACTGCAGTCATTGGCCTGTCCCCAAGTAAGCAGATGTGGCCCAGAACCCTGCCTGCAGCCCCTCACCAGAGGAAACCCACCACAGCTGTTCTAAGGCCAGCTCCTTCCTCCTTCAGCCAAGGATTAACCTGAGTGCCTCCTTTGCTCCCAAGGATGAAAACAAAGCCCCAAATTCCAGAGAACAGTATACATTTACAATGTGTAAGTTCCTTATTGTGATCTACAACAGAACTTACGAAGCATTTCTAGGTCAAGTCCATTAATATGTCCTGAAATCATTTAGTGGATGGCAATCAGCACATGTAAATGATGAAACAGAGGAGTGACAATCTGCTCTGCAGAACCCATCACGTTGTATGGGGAAGAACTGCTTCCTGATATAAGTGAAGGGTGTAGGAGGGTGAATGTGGTGGAAATAATGCGTACTCATGTATGAAAATGGAAAAATGAGACCTGTTGAAACTGTTCCAGGAATGGGGGGAGGGTTAATAAAGGAGAATGATGGAGGGGGTGAACTCAACTGTGATATATTGTGAGAACTTTGGTAAATGTCACGGTGTACCTCCAGTACAACAATAATAATAAAAAATTTTAAAAAGGAAAAAAAAGAAAAAAAGAAATAACAAATAAATTTAATGGCTCAGTAGAAGATGATATATTTTAGAGGACAAAAGATAGCTGAGTAAAGGAGGTTGGGAGATGTACAGGGTGTGGTTGTAGTTTTCAGTATGGTGATCATAACATACTTGCTACAAGGTCTTGTTTTCACCCCTGGCTCCCCAGTTCTTCCATTGGAATAAAGAATCTATACACCTTAAAAAAAAAAAAAAAAAAAAACTGCTTCCTGAAACTTGTTTCAGTTACATACATGTGCGTGAATTTGGGAGAGTGGTGGGAATGTATTTCTTACTGTGAGTCATGGTTGAAAGTTCTAGAAGTCCAGCAGCCTAGGCAAGTCCCTACAAGATCGGTATCCTCCCACATCCTCATCTCCTCCTCCCCCTCCTCCCCAGCAGCAAGCAACTTGTCACCCCTAGCCTGCAACATTCCTCCCCAAATCTTCATAAAGTCATCCAGGATACTAATGAGCCTCCTTGTTCAAGGCTCAGTTCAAATGCCACCTTCTCAGAAGCCCTCCCTGACCACCCATCTGAAGTAGCTACTCCCTGCCCCAGTACCTTACTCACTTTCCTTCCCTGGCCTTGTCTGAAATGGTACCTAATGATCTGTTCTTTCCCCGACCCTTGCAAGCTCCAAGTGTCTGCCTGTCTCCTCTTGCTGTCTCCCCAGAAGCTAGGAGAGTACATGGCATTCAGTAGGGGCTCAATAAATAATTTGCTAAATGCAAGAGAAATTGCCAGGTGCTAGGTCTACACAGCAGTGGACAAGACAGAGATGGTCTGCAGGAGAAGGTATATGAGTACGAAGACACTATGGGAGCCGGGGATGTAACTCAGTGGTACAGTGCCTGCTTAGCATGTGCAAGGCCCTGGCTTCCAAACCCAGAAGCAAAATACTTACATACATGCATATTCCAGTTTCTCCAGGGTGTGGGCTACAGGAGCCCCTGGAAAGCCAGGGAGGTTGCCTGGCAGGGCAAATGTACAGATGAAAGGTAAACAGGGAAGAATCTGATCTGCCAAGGAGTGGGAAGGGTGTTTGGAGCAGGAAGACCAGCAAGAAGAAAGGGTTGAAGCAGGGCACTGGTGGCTCATGCCTATCAACCCTAACTACTCAGGAGGAGAGATCTGGAAGATCATGGTTTGAAGCCAGCCCGGGCAAACAATTTGTGAGACCCTATCTTGAAAAAGCCTATCAAAAAAAGGGCTGGTGGAGTGGCTCAAGGTATAGGCCCTGAGTTCAAACTCCAGTACTGCCAAAAAAAAAAAAAAAAAAAACAAGAAAAGAAAAGGCTTGACAGTGATGGAATGTAACATATTCAAAGAAACACAAGAAATTCAACATGCCAGTACTTGGGGCAGAGAAGGGCAGGGATCATCTCATGTGCCCTGAGCCTGGCACCCACGCACCTGGCACAAGCTGAGTACTCAAGTAAAGGGCTGGTAGCTCAGCCAGGGGCAGGATCCAAGCTTGCCCATCCAGTGAAAGTCAAATGTGGTCAAGATCATTCTTGAAATCTTGCTCCACTTGCCCAGAAGGTACAGTACAGGACCATGTGAGGGAGGGAACCAGCCAGCTTTGCCTCCAGAGTGGAATACAGCGCTGCGGCATATGGGAGAAAAATGGTTTGTGTTTAGGGGTCAAGCAGTATGAAAGATCCAAACTGTACCTTTATCAATGAGAACCCACAGGAGCAAGGGGATGAGTGCCCAGACCTAGCACTCACGGGGAGCTGGCCACGCAGGGCATCCCTGCCTGCAAGTCCAGGAGAGATCCTCCAGGAAGGGCTTAGGAAAAAGATTTGGGTTTCATCTGGGAGATAAGTCTGGACTGGGATGCAGGTTACAGTCCATTAATGGATCCTGATCATGTAGCAAGCTAACCTCAGATGAATGGGATAGAGAAGCACACATGCTCCCAATTTTTGATGGGCTTATGTCCTGATAAATCCAACATAACTGGGAAATATCCTAAGTCAAAAACTCACTTAATACACCTTACCTACAATTAGTACATGTTTCCCAGCCCAGCAAACGATCAAATGCAAACTTATAAATACAGTTTCTATAAAATGTGAACCATTTTCACACCATCATAAAGTTGAAAAAACATTCTTATCCCCACCACAAAGAAGAAACTGAAAAAAAAGAAAAAGAAACTGAAGCAGGAGATTAAGTAACTGGTCACAGTTACAGAGAATAAGTGACAGAGGGAAAAGTTGGAGTCCATGCTCTTAACTCCGCCCTTGCCACACTGCTCCTCACCACCAACCATGGGGTCCAAAATGCAGCTGTCCTTCCTATGTGCAGATACCAAAATCCTTGGATGCTCAAGTCCCTTATAGTATCTGCATATAATCTACACACATGCTCCTGCATACTTAAGTCACGTCTAGACTCCTCTAATACTGTAACTGCCATGCATCAATTAGGGATAACAAAAAAGTCCGTATATATTCAGTATAGACCCAACTTTTTTTTTGGGTGGTACTGGGATTTAAACTCAGGGCCTCAAGCTTTCTAGGCAGGCGCTCTGCCATCTGAGCTACGCCCCCTGCCCTTTCTGTTAGCTATTTTTCAGATATGGTCTGATGTTTTTGCCAGGGCTGGCCTACACCTTGATCATCTCATTTACACCACCTATGTAGCTGGGATGACAGGCATGTGCCACCACACCCAGTTTGTTTGTTTGTTTGTTTTGTGAACATGGGATCTTGCTAACTTTTTGCCCAGGCTGGTCTTGAACCACAATCCTCCTGATCTTGGCCTCCCAAGGAACTGGAGTTACAGGAGTTACGCCACCACACTGAACAGACCAACATTTTTTGTTCTGATTCTTTTTTTTTTTGGCAGTGTTGGGGTTGGTGCCAGGGCCTCACACATGCTAGGCAAACCCTCTACCACTCCAGCCCCACAAATATTTTTAATCTATAATTGGCTGAAATTGCAAATCAGAGCCTGAGGATACAAAAACTGGCTATATGTTCATTTTGATTTCTATTAAAATGCATGTTATCTGTTCAATTGTAACATTAACCCCTAGCATGAAGGAGAAGGGAAAATAACACATTCTTTTCACTTTTATGCTTTTTCTACATTCTAAATTTTCTATAATCAAGATGTTTCACTTTTAGCAAGAAAAGAAACTTCTGACTTCATAGAACACTTTTTTTAAGAGATGGGTTGAGGGGTATCCCAGTGATAGAGTACTCACCTAGCAGGCTCAAGGCCCTGGGTTCAATCCCCAAAACCAAAAATAAATAAATAAAATGAAAGCGAGACAAAGAGATACGCTGGGAGTGTCCATATGGAAAGCAGAGGCAGGAGACAGGATTGAAGTGGCCACTCAGGACCTACAGGCAGCACTCACCTAGCATAGCATTCAGAACTCCTGGCCCCTCATACCACTGTTTAGCTTCTCTACTGTGTGTTCTTGAGCTCCTTGCTTCCCCTCTCTGGGCCCACTTCCTCTCTGCAGAAGGGGAGGCCCAGCCCCCCTAGGAGAGGCCCAGTAACCTGACTCAAGCAGCAAGGCAGCATGACCTCCCCCACCCCAGTCTCTCAGCTCACAACAGCCCCATGGGACAGGGCCATGGTATTGCTGGAGGAGAAAGCTCAGGGAAGTGTCTGCAGACAGGAAGTGCGGTTGGGTGCAGGGAGGTGAACTCACATGAAGAATGAGCTCACTCTCTTTTGTCTTCTGACTTTATTTTGCTCATTTTCTGGTTTCTGTGTTTGTTGCTTGTCCCCACCACGAAGCTGTGAGCACAACCACATTCCCAGCTGTATGCCCGGCCCCAGCACAGTGCTCTTACTCAATAAATATTTGAATGAGTGAATCGATGAGCTAGCGAATGAATGATGGGCTGTCCACCAGCCCCCGCCACCAGCTGCCTGTGCGAAGCTCAGAAAACAGGTGCCCAATGCCTCCAGGGCCAGCCCCAGCACAGCCTCCCTTTGGAAGGGCTGGGTTCCCGCTCACCTTGGCCGGGACCCGTAAAGTGGTTGTAGTACTGGGATACGTAGGTCATGATGCTGAGGCAGTCGGGGACACGCATGGAGACCATGTCACTGGGGTCCAAGAGAGCAGGGATCCCCAGCTCCTTTTCAGCCACTTCAAAGGCCTAGAGTGCGGGCAGGTGCGAGAGTGGGAGCGGGAGCAGTCATGGCAGGAAGAGGACACAAAGAGGCGGCGTTAGGAGCATCCCTCAGAGGGACTGGGAGGTGTGGGACTCCCCTCGGCTTTAGTACCACTCCAAGCCCCACCTGATGGCCTAGAGAAGGGGAAAGCCTACTGTTCCAGGCAGGGGGGCCATGGGAAGCAGGGAGCAGGAGAGGACAGCCAGGCCCTCATGAAAGGCAGCACCCTGCAAGACCACTGCCCTCCCCCAAACACACAAGCATAAGAATGATGTCCATATATCTGGGGACTTACCAAGCGGTTATTCTCAAAGACATTGTCCTTGGAAAGTGAGTCAAAGTCTCTACAAGAGGTAAAGAAGAGGAGGACTGGTCAGGAGAGGAAGTGATGGGGTAGAAGTGTCAGAAAGGAGGGGGCACAGGTGACCTCGCCCTGACCAGTGTCAGCCTCAGCTCAACAGGGTTGGGAGAGGGAGCCTGTGGACTCCTGAGGAGGAAACTGAGGCAGCAAGCACTTGCCGATGGAGTTGGTACTGCTGGTGGGAGCAGAGGGTGAGCCCTTGGCCCTGGGAGGTTGCCAAGAACAAGCAGGGAAGTCACAGGACCGGGCAGGCTCGACCCAGGCTTTCAAGTCTCAGATTCCTTCCCTCCCAGGATCCCAGACTCTTCCCAAGAGGCCTTTTCCATCTCTGAGTTAGTGGCAAAGACACAATCAAGACCAGGACACATACTTGCAATGACGGTGCACTGGGGACAGGTAGCCTCACTCACATGCAGCCTGTTTTCATAGTGACTGTTTGGCAGGTTTTTACCTCACTTTATAGATGAGGACTCTGAGGCCCAGAAAGGGGAGCCACCAGCCATGGGATTCCATACTCCTGGCCTTTCCACTGCATGTTGCAGACTCACACAAGCCACCCCAACTTGCTGAATCTAAATTCAGCTCTGCCCAATTTCAGGGTGAGTGGAGTGTTTTTCTTTTTCTTTCTTTTTTTTTTTTTTCCCCGGTGGCACTGGGGCTTGAACTCAGGACTACACCTTGAGCTACTCTACCAGCTCTTTTTATTGGTGGGTTTTTCCAAGATAGGGTCTCATGAACTAGTTGCCCAGGCTGGCTTCAAACCATGATCCTCCTGATCTCTGCGTCCTGAGTAGCTAGGATTACAGATGTGAGCCACAGGTGCCAGGCAGGATGAGTGATTTTCTTAATGGGGCCAAGAATAGGACAAGTTTCAACCAGAGTGGAAACAGTACATATCCCAGAGCTGCAGGCACTGAGCAGCTGGTCGGCCCAGCTGGGACATTCCTGGGGACAGCTTTCCTTGAGGGAGCAGTGGGGGTTTTCCTACTTCTAAGCTGGGACAGGTGAAAGGCCCTGCCTGAGGGCCCTGGAGTGGGGCAGCTGGCAGGCCTGTTACTTTATTTACCTCCTCATCACCCGAATCCTCCTCCCCGCTCCCCCACCCCCACCAGCTCAGTTTCTGCCTCCCAAGGGCAAGGCCTGCAGCATTCCCTTCCTTCTATGGTCGAAAACATAGCCAACAGAGCCCAGGCCAGTGGGCCTGAGGCATGGAGTAGACAGAGCACTCTGGGGCCTGCATCCCAAGCCTGCTCTTCCAGGTGGGGCTGTGTGACCATGAACAAGTCAGCAGTCCTTTCAGCCTCCATTTCCCCATCCACAAACAGGAAAACTCTGGTCCCAGTTCCCAAGCTGGTAATGAAGGCCAGGAAAGTCCAGGTGTGGTATAGGGCAGGCCTCCCACAATGTGGAAGCCAGTAAGCACACCCGCCTTTCTGGCCTAACACTTTCCAGGCAGAGTCCAGATCTGTGGGCCCCAGGAAAAGGCAGAAAAAGGGGGTTGGAGACTCCTCCAGGGCTGGGTGGAATGGGGGAAGGTAGCCACATATGGGCTCCAGTCGTCTTTTGTCAATTCTGGCCACTAACTCCCCTGCATTGCCACTGCCTAAGAGTGATCTTCAGCAAGGGCCTCTACGTCCCTGCACCTCAGTTTTCTGGTCTGTGACACCAGCACAGCCCAGGGAACACCAGCCCAGCCAACATAGACTGGTTCCAAGACCAAATGACACAAGGCAACCAGTCCCAGCCATTTATTTCAGTCTCCTCAGCAGTATTTCTAGAAGGCTGGGATCACACTTTGTACCACCCCCCTCAAATCCTCCAACACCTTGCACAATTCCCAGTATTTAGGAGGTACTCCATAAATGTTTGTTGAATGAATAAATGGTGAAAACTGTAAAACCCTGCAGGATACTTCAGTTTTTCCTCCAACTTCTCCTACTCCATCTCTGTCTCTAATAAAGTCTTTTCTGAGCATTTTCAGAGGCCCACACGGTCCCAGTGCTCAAGGGAACTTAGAAATGCCTGGATGGGAGAGAGGGGCAGTGTCAGCCTCTTACACCCCAGAAGCCTGAAGTACTTTATAAGGTGGCCTTGCCCTCATCCCTAGCCCTACCCCTACTCTCATGGAGGTCTGCCTCTAAGGGCTGGACTGCAGTTCAGTAGGCTAGCCCTTGCCTAGTGTGCATGAGGCCCTTGCTTCAATCTCCAGTTTAAAAAACTGTGGTGCTGGGTGGGGTCGTGAAGAGGGGTCAGGGGCTGTGGATACAGATGGAACAAAGTGACAGAGGTGGGCTCCAACACAGGGGCCAACCCCAGCACTGTCTCCATCTCAAGCCCGAGCTCCTGAGCTCCCCAGCCGCTAGGCCTCCATTAGTGCTACAGGCCCTGCCCTTGGGAGGCAGAAACTGAGCTGGTGTGTGTGTGTTGGGGGGGGAGGATTTGGGGGATGAGGAGGTAAATAAAGTAAAAATCAAGGCTGAGGACTTCCCTGAGCCTTATGTGGGACTTCAGCCTCAGTTTCTCTTTTGTGAGAGACTGGCCTCCCTAGAAAACAAATGCCTGGAAGCAGCCGGGAGGGCTCATGCCTGTGATCCTAGCTACTCAGGAGGCAGAAGGCAGAGATCAGGATGATTCAGGTTTGAAGCCAGCCTGGGAAAATAGTTCACAAGACCCTGTCTCAAAAAAAAAAAATCACACACAGAAAAAAAAAAATCACAAAAAAAGGGCTGGTAGAGTGGCCCTGAGTAGTGGCCGGTATAGGCCCTGAGTTCAAACCCCAGTATCACAAAAAAAAAAAAAAAAAAAAAGAGCCTGGACTTGATCTCATCCTGGGAGGGGCACAACCCTCCCCTTTACACTGTCTCCAGTCACATCCTCTCCCCAGCAGAACCCACAGGGCTCTCTAGGGCCCCATCTACCCTCATTAGCCAGCTGAAGAGGCCCTGGGCAACCGGCCCAATCCCATCTCCTAACTCTAACTGTCTATGTTCCCCACTGCGGCAGCACAATCTCCAGCTCTACACACAGCTCAGGCCTCGCATCAGGGCCCTCACCTAACTTTGGCCTTCACCTGAAGGCTGTGCTCTCCTGCGAAGGTTTTCCCCTGGGTTCCCCCACAGGTGTGGGGAGAGGTGTAGGAGTTTTGTGCTGTTGGCTGGCATCTCTATTACACGGTACGGTATCCAGCACAGAGCAGTAACTCTCAACGAATGAAGGAATAAAAAAACACTGTCATCCTCCCCCTCCTGTCTAATAACACCTCTCACAGTAGCCCATGTTAATTGCATGCTTATTACCTCATTTAATCCTCACAACAATCCTGTGATCTAGATGCCTAGAGGGACCCAGTGATTTACCCAAGGATCCAAATGGAAAAGTCAGGCAGCCTGCGTGTCCATGCCACCAGGCTCAGGTCCCCGACCTAAGCCCCTTCTCTCCCTGGGTACATTGCCAGACTCCTGCCTCAGCACCTGTCCCCAGCCAAAACAGAAGACCCCTAGAGCTTGGGCTCCAATACAGGGGCCAACCCCAGCACTGTCTCCATCTCAAGCCCCAGCTCCTGAGCTCCCCAGCCCCTGCTGCTAGGCCTCCATTAGTACAGTGCTACATGCCCTGCAGCAGATAGCAATCCACCTCATCCCATCTGTATCCACAGCCCTAACCCCTCTACTCCACGACCCCACCCACCACCACAGACACTGTACTGTATGGCAGAGTAAACCAGAATTGTATGTGCCATGGAATCCTTGAAGCAATCCTTTCAGGGTCCTCCCAGGAGCTGTCCTGTGGGAGCACAGGACTGGAGGTGAACCAGACACAGAAAAGGCTCCAGGCCTGGGCAGCCTTGCCAAGGGGGCTGTAAGAAAGAGGCCAGGGCCAGGATTTGCTGCTATCCCTGATTTGCTGCTGGGGCCGGAAGCAAAAGAAATGTAGGGCACCAGATGAACTTTCATTGTTTTATGAATGAATAAATAAATGAATGAATGAATGAATTACTGAGGGCACAGACAGCTGAGACAGAAACCCCAAGTCACTTCCTCCAGGGTTATGAATACATTTTCCCATAAGAACCTCACTCGGCAGTTCCAGGCATGAGGGGCTGCTTCCTAGTCTGGAGCAGCAAGTTGGTGGCTATCAACAGGACTCAGCCTTCCCAGTTCCATCCTGCCTGACACTTTTTTGGGGGTTAGGGGGTAGGACTGGGGTTTAAATTCAGGGCTTCTTGCTTGAGTCACACGTCCAGTCCATTTTGCTCTGGTTATTTTAGGTGAATTATTCACCTGGGCTGGCCTCGAACTGTGATCCTTCTGATCTCAGCCTCCAGAGTAGCTAGGATTACAGGCCTGAGCCACCAGTACCTGGCACTGTTCTCTTTATTACCCCATCTCCAAGCTCCACTAAGGACAGCAGGACCCTAGTGCACACACATGGGGAGGCGGATCTGACTCCTGATTGAGGAGTGCTGGGGAGTAGGGCATGCATCCAGTCATCCAGCAATCACTCATCTAGACACTCCTCTGTGCCAGGAACCAGGTCAGTGCCCACTGGGAAATCAGAAATGGGGCCTCACAGAGCAAGGGGTCACACAGAGTGATCAGCCCTAAATGCCTTATGAGGGTGGGGGAGTAGCTTCTAGCATCTTTGGCTGGGCCATAAATTCAATTGACATAAAAGAGGTGAAGAGAAGAAAAACTGTATTTAATTCCCCACATTCCCATGGGAGACTTACAAACGTCCAGTCAGATGACTGGAAGCTTAACGCATATCCTGAGCTGGGAAAGGAAGGACTTCTTGGGCTCCTGGGGAAGGGGGGGCAGGTACAGTGTGGTGCTCAGGGCTGGATGGTCCCTCAGAGACCTCTCAGGTACTAAGTTGTCTGGGGCTGCAATCCTCCTGAGACACTTCCTCAGGTACACTATTTCCCTTACAGATGTAAATTTCTTTTACAAAAGGACAGTCTTACAGAGCCACCCAGGTGTCTGCTGTTTCTTAGACCAGGCAAGTCGAAGAAAGAAGTCTATTTTGGGTGGCATCCTCTGATCTACAGTCAAATTTTGGGGTGGTATGTCCTGAGCCCCAATGGGGGAAGAGGGTTCAGTGTGCCTGCTGGGGAGTTTAGCTTAGGAGTGGCCGGGGAGGGTTCAGTGCTCCTTCAAAAAAGGAGAGGACCTGGGGAGGGGTGGGGGCTCAGTGTCCTTTCATGGAAACCAGTAGCCCTGGCGGGCTGGGTTCTGTGTCCCAGGGTGGGGTCACAGCAGCTCGGTGGGGGAGGGGTGCCTGGGCCGGGGGTCTCGAAGACCGGCTCGGCGGTCAGGGCCGAGGCGGGGTCAGCGTCTTGGTCCCGGGGGGCGGCGCCTGCCACCGCGTCACTGAGCGGGGCGGCGGTCCCCAACCTTGCCCGCGTGCCCGCCCGCCCCGCGCGCCCCGGCACTCACAGCAGGTCGGGCCGGTGCCGGTGCAGGATGGCGCAGAAGGCCAGGCCGTCCCGGAAGGAGCTGCTAAGGTCGCGGATGTCCACGCCGCGGTAACCCTCGCACTGGCGGCGGCACCAGGCCAGCAGCGCGCCCCGCGGCCCCGCCATGGCCGGCGCGGGCCCCGGCTCCGGCTCGGGCTCCGGCTCAGTCTCCCGCTACGGCTGGGCTCCGGTGGCCGCCGCGCGGGGCCGGTTTCCGGCTGCGGCGCGGCGCGAAGCTCGGGGCGCCCACCGGCGGAACGGGGCGGAGCGGGGCGGGGTCTCGGTGTCCTCGCTCGGTTCCGGGCTCGGCTCCCGTTGCCTCCGCCCGCCCGGCCTGCCCCGACCTGCCCGAGCAGCCGCCGCCCGCGTGGCCCGGCCTGGCCGGCCGCCGCTTACTCACCGCAGCCCGCTGTCCTCATTGTGGGCCGGCCGCGGGCGGCCACCGCCTCCGTCCCCTCCCGGGGCCCGCCTGCGCCGCGGGGGAGCTGGGAGGGGGCGGCCCGCGCCCCACCCAGCGGTGGCTCCGCCTCCAGGCGCGGACCCCAGTTCCCCAGAAGAGCGCACGCCCCATAGTCCCGCTCCTCTGCGATCCTCCGCCACCCCTTCCTCGCCGCGAACCCCTCGAAGAAGTTGGGACAACCCACAGTAAGCTAGCCCCTCCCCGTCACCGCCACCCGCAGCTCCCCGGAGTCCTCCTCGATCCAGAGGCGGGCACCTTCCTCTTGCCCTTAGCTTGCCTCCTCCCACCCCAAAGGACCTGCGAATTCCTCCACACTGGCTTCTCCTAACCCACCTATCCCTGGTCTGCAGCTTTGTTGAGGCAGTTCTGCAGACCCCAAAGCCCCTACCCCAGGTGACCCCCATTTCCTTCACCCTGCTCGCCACATTAATCACCGGACAGCTAGCACTGGTTCCCCACCCCCTCCCCCTCTTCCCCTTAGCCTGTGTGGGAGACTCAACTCGTTCCACCACCATCAGTCCAGGCATCCATATGGTTCCGGGATTGAACTCCACAGCGGTGTAAATTCAGGGTCCTTCTCTCTCCACACACACACACACACACATCCTTCTAAGGCAAGGTTCCCTCACCTCTGATTATAGTGGCAGTGGACTGGGCTACTCCCAAAAGGTCCTATGGGAAGCAATTGGTGTGTCTTTGGAGGGGTACACCAGCTATTCACATCTGGCTTTGGAGTCTCATTGTCAATCTGCTGGCTCAGACCCGGGCCAACAGACCCCTCCCCAAAGGCTGTCCTACTCCAGACAAATGAATCAGTCTCCGCTCTGCTCCAGAGGCAGTGACATCACTGACCCATGCAATAACTGCTTGAAATGGGTCTGTTCTTCCTCCCAAGGGAAGACACAGGTCTTAGTCATTTGGAACCAGGCTCAAATCCTGACTCCCCCACTTCTCAGCCATGTGATCTTGTGCCGTCTTGAGCTTCAGTTTCTACATCTTGAAAAGGGGGACAGGGCCAATTGTGGTGGAGCACTCCAGTGACCCCAGCATTCCCCAGACAGAGGCAAGAGGACTTCAAGTTCAAGACCAACCTGGGCTACACAGCAAGAACCAGACCAGCATAAACTACATAACCTGTAATTCCACCTACTCAAGAGGCAGAAACTGTGATGATCAAGACTCAAGGCCAGCAGGACAAAAGGTTAGCGAAGCCCCATCTCTACCAATAAACCAGTAGTGCTGACACTTGCCTATCATCATAGCTGTGAGAGAGGCATAGGGAGGAGGATGGTGGTCTAATGCTGGCCCCAGGCAAAAACATGAGATCATCTCTGAAAAATAATTAAAGCAAAAAGGGCTGGAGGTGCAGCTCACCTGATAGGCAAGCTGAAGGACCTCAGTTCAAACCCAGTACCACCCACTCACCAAATTAAATAAATAATAAAATGGGGATAACTCCTAATTTGCAGGTGCCTAAGAGGATCAAGTGCCTGACCCTTGTACATGTTAGCTGTTGATACCTGGTAAAGGTCATGAGATGAATTGAACCTTTTTTTTTGGTCCGGTACTGGAGTTTAAACTCAGGGCCTACACCTTAAGCCACTCCACCAGCCCTTTTTTTTTGTGATGGGAGTTTTTGAGGTAGGGCCTTGAGAACTATTTGTCTGGACTGGTTTTGAACCCTGATCCTCCTGATCTCTGCCTCCCGAGTAGCTAGGATTACACTGGCTTTTTTTTTTTTTTTGGTGGGACCAGGGTTTGAACTCAAGGCTTCACTTTTGCAAAGCAAGCACTCCACTGCTTGACCCACACCTCCAGCCCATTTTGCTCTGGTTATTTGGAGATGGGGTCTCGAGAACTATTTACCTGGGCTGGCCTAAAACCAAGATTCTCCCTATCTCAGCCTACTAGGTTGCTAGGATTATAGGCATGAGCCGAGTTTGATTGAAAACTTTTGTACCCAAGTTGTCATTTAGGCCTTTTGGAGTAAAAGAAAGATTGACTTGGGTAATTCTACCTCCTCAAAGTTAACAGCCACATTTCAGAATATAGTTAAGACTCAGGGTCTTGGGACCCCAGCTTGCCAACCTGGGCCAGCCTTATGCCTCTGGGTATGTCTGAAGCTGGAAGGCCACCATCTTGGCCTTTCAGGCCACCTTAAAGGGGCTGCTAGGGCCCAACTGCCCTACATTGCCACCTCCTGCACTGACCCCTGTGGGAAGCAATTCCAAGAAACCAGGGTCCCAGAAGGTTCCATTAAATAAGACTTGGGCCCAAGATCTTGATATCAGTGTCCTTGACCTTCAAAGACCACCCAGGACTCTTATCAAAACATAGAAGGGAGTCAGGTGCTGATGGCTCACACCTGTAATTCGAGCTACTTGAGAAGCTGAGCTCGGGCCATTAGAGACCAGTCAAAATAACCAGAACAAAATGGACTGGAGGTATGGCTCAAGTGGTGGAGTGCCTGCTTTGCACTGGGGTTGAAGCTCTGAGCTCAAACCCCAGTCCCACCAAAAAAAACCAAAAACCTAAAAGGGAGCTGCCAATATGGTTCAAGTGGTAGAACATTTGCATAGTAAGCACAAAGCCCTGAGTTCAAACCCCACAATACTGTCAAAAACAAACAAACTAGGAGGAAAGCCAGGCATGTGGTGCATGCCTGTAATCCCAGTACTTAGGGGGCCGAGGCAGGCTCAAGGCCAGCCTGGACTATGTGTAGAGACTTCGCCTCATCAAAATCAAAACCTCCTTTAGGTCCCTGATGACTGCTCTAGATCTGACCTTGAGCTCTCCTGTTGCCATAATAATAGTTTGCACAGCACAGCCCTTAGCCCCCATTAGCCATTTGTGGGCTTTATAAACCCGTCATCTGAGCAAGCGCATCATATTATTGATCTACAGGATCACAGCTGTGTGGCTGCAGGCCAGACACCTCACCCCTGTGAGCCCCAATTTCCCACCCTGTAAGTGGGGATAATAATTTCTGCTTTGCCTTCGTTCCAGGGTTGTGGGTAATCTGGTTGTGGGAGATAATGGTCATGAAAACACTGGGCAGACTGTGAATCCAGGGTGCTGCTGGAGGGTGAGCCTGTGTTTACAGTGAGGTCAGAAGCCACAGACGGATAGGCAAGGTGAGCCATTTGGCCAGTCAGACCATGATTTCAGGATTAGGACTGAGGACCTTGGGTCCTTTCTTCAGCATTTTGTTTAAATGTTAAATGTGGCTGGGGTATAGCTCACTGGTAGAATGCTTCTGTAGCATGTGTAAGGCCCTGAGTTCCATGCCCAGTACTGGGAGAAATCAGTGGGAACAGACTGGCCAGAGAAGCCGGTGGTGACATTTGAGCTGAATGACACCAATCTGCCGAGGAAGCAAGTGGATGCAAGCCAGTGAGAGCTGTCATGATAACCAGAGCTTGAATCCTTTCTAAGTTCTCCCAAAGCTAGAAGCCTGTAGCCCTCTAGGTGCAGTGGTCCCTACAGCAGGGCAGAATCCTGGCAGGGAGGTGATGTCCTAGCAGGGACATCCAGCATAGTCCCAACAAGGCAGGGGGACACTGATTTGGGGTGGGAGGTGGGAATTATGCCTCTACTTGCCATTCTTGCTCCAACACGCTTCACAGGGGTTGAAGGAGGGAGGTAAAGGCAAGATGAAAAACCCATTAGAGGTGGAGGAGGCTTACACTGAATGAATACTGGTGAGAAAGAACGAGTGGATGAACAGCGGGTTAGGACCTACGCCTTACATTTATGTTCACACTCAGATCTCAAGGTAAGTTTCAGAGAGGTGAGAGAGAGGAACCACATGGAAGAGACCTGGAGAAGGATTAGGGAAAAAATATCTTCATTGCCACCTGGGATCCTCTAGCTATTGATCCTAACCACCTGACTGTACACCTGTTCAGAGGCCCAGGGCTACTCCTATCTCAGAGCCAGAGGCAGATGTGTGTGCAGATGTGTGTGTTCCTGGAGGTGAGAGCAGATGCCTGGATGATCCACTCACCCAGCACCTGCTCTCATTGCTGATGACTTACTGGAAGACACTGAACAAGTATATCGCCTGCCCTAGGTTCAATGTTAGCATCTATGAAAGGTGAGGATTTGCCCACCTGGGACACAGCACGCCTGTTTACAGGATTCTGTCATCCGGAAGTGCTACTCCAGGAGACTCGGACATGCATGCTGAAAGGTCTAATGTTCACTAACAGCAAAGAATTTAGCGTTCTTTGCTGGCCAGTGAAATTTCAGCATAGCTGGACAATAGAAAGTTACACAGCTGTTAAAAAGAATTGTTAGGGGAGCCAGGCACAGTGGGGCACACCTGTCATCCCAGCTACTCAGGAAGCAGAAACAGAAGGATTGCTTAAACTCAGGAGTTCAAAGCTAGTCTGGACTGTCTCTAGAAAAAGAGTCAGAGAATGTCATAAAAGTATGCCTTCAAAAGAAGTGGAAAAAGCAAGCTGTGATATAATAGGTTATCATAAGATCCCATTTATAAAACACACTAGCAGTTAAGTGCAAGGCCCTGAGTTCAAGCCCCAGCACCACCAAATACTGAAAAGTATACACACACACACACACACGTGTATATACATACATATGTATGTGTATATATGTGTGTGTGAAATGTGTATTTGTGTATCTAAATGTTTATGTATATATATATATATATATAAAGAATTTTAAAGGATACAGGTCCAAATGTTATCCTTAGTTAACTTTGGGTTATGGCAGACTCAGTTTTTACAAGTAATTATGGTTTGAATTTTTAACAACTAGCAGATATACTTCTTTAAAATAACAGCTGTAAGGCTGTCACCCGTGGCTCACATCTGTAATCTTAGCTACTCAGGAGGCAGAGATCAGGAAGATCTGTTTGAAGCCAAGCTATATGCATATATATACAGATATATGTCCTATATATATATTTATTTATATATATATATACCTTATACAATTTGCATTTCAGCCATGTTTAAATGTAGTCTGTGGCAATAAGTGCATTCACCTCATTGTGCCACCATCCACTGCCGAAATGTTTTCATCTTTGCCAGCTGAATCCATTAAACAGTAACTCCCCTTCCTGTCTCTGATTTGTTGTTGTTGTTATTGGTGAGACTGGGTTGAACTCAGGGCTTCATGCTTGCAAAGCAGGTAGTTTACCA